AATTGCTGCAAAACGTCAAATAGCTGTCACGATTCGTATAAATTTCTGATTCTGCACCTGTCGATGGGTACCGGTTGATTTCCATTTGATCCCTATTCTGATCAGTTACTCGAAGCACGCGTTTCGGGAAAAAAATTCATAAAAATTATTTGCACAAGAATCAGATGTAAATATGATTAAGATAAACTCTTCTCCATAGCTTTGCCCTTCCGCATACCTGATCAATTTTGCTCGATAGCAAATGAGACAGGACGAAAGAGTCGCACTGCGTTAACGACGAACGGAACTTTCTTCTTATCGAACCGCTCGAGACTGAGAAGTAGATCGTAATTAGCGCATTAATGACTGCGAAACACAGATATCGGTGGTGGACATAACCGATCGGTATATGTATGTTGTGAATTGCGATGCGATAACCCTCGCCATAGTGCCGTCTTTATAATCTCTGTCGTTGACGAAGAGGAAGAAAAGAAAAGAGAATGAAATGAAAAGAATTTATTCTGAAATAATGATTCTGCGGATGCACAGATATAACATTGTGTATAAAAATAAAGAGAAAAAGAGAAGGAAAAAAGATAAATAAATTCGCATATTGACATATGCAGAATATATTAAAACTACGAATGTTTTTTTAATAGCAGATTCTCTAACCAGACGATAGAGATTTTTTTGGCAAAAATGTCAAAGCAAATGTCAAGATAATAATTCTAAGTTATAAGCGATTAAGAAGAAGGTTTTTTTTGCAAATTTTAAACTTGCGAAGTAACAAATTTAACAAAATTGCATTCTTTAGTTAATTTTAGCTAGAATTTATTTTAATAAAATTTTAATTTAAGGTCCAATTATACAAAGATATATGATGAAACCTTTAATGTTTGATATTTGATGAACTTTTCGCAACTGTGAAAAAATGATAATCTCTGACATTTTGATATTTTCACTAACAAAAATCGACTGTAGTGAAATAATTTGCTATTAAAAGAATATTTGTGCGATAGTTTTGAGCCACTCTGTATATATGCATACGTGCATAATATAATCAGAATATGTATTTGGACGGCGGATATACTTTCTCTTTCTATCTTTTTCTCTGTCACATGTCGATAATAAATGTACAGACAATCGTATACGCGAAATCCAGTTACATTAAGCAATAAAAATAAAATAGCAAGATTATATAAATTAATTTCTGTACACAAAAAAGAAAACTTTGAGAAACAATTATTTGTAATGTAAGTCAATTTAATAAAATATGTAACTTATTCGTAAAATTAAAAATTACAATAAAAATTATAATAAAAAATATTATAATAAAAAAATAATTATAATAAAAAAATACACTTATACATACAATTATATAAGCTGATAAAATTCTTTGACTTTGACAACTGTCGTTTTCGTAACCGTTTATTGAGATCTTTTCTATGATTCGAAAGTTTAATCATATCAGCATTTTTGAAATGATAAGCACTTGATAATATCGGAAAATTCTCCGATGACCTTCATATAATTACTATTGCAGTTTACGAGATTTCAATAGGAAAATTGATTTTCGCAATGGTTCTTTAAGATAATATTCAAAATGTATATCGAGAAGAAAAAATAATATATAATAGGTGAATAGAAAAGAGGAGATAATAATACAATAGGTAAAGTTATTTTACAGTTGTGATATTTGAATGGCATGAAAAATATTCTTTTTATCGCGATATCTTGTGAAAGTGCACGCGGTCGCGAGTAAACGATAACGCATGCGAAGAAATCATGCACTCTAGCGAATGCACATCAGGGAAAAATATATTTTAAAAATATAACGCGATATTAAATTCCTCAAAAACTAAGAATAAGCGATAAAGTCACTCCGCATAATTATGATAAAATTCAAAGATAATTGTGAACCGAATAGGGAACATAATTTTTTTATGCATAGAACAAAATTTAGGAAGGAAAAAAAAATGAGCTGTTTTATAAAAAATATCGCAATAACACAATTTTTTTTCAACTTTGTCTCCTCTTATCATCGATCGTCATAGCATTGATTATAAATTTTTTGGCTGCTTTTTAAATGCAGAAAAGATACAGACACTTCAATTCAATAATAACATTAACAGGCAGAAGAATTAACATGACCTTCCTCCCTCCGTTATCAAGCCTGTTTCTTACGATTATCAAGTTCAATGCAAACGTATGTAAACATCTTTTTCTACATCGATACATTGTGTATAAATAGATGAGTACACATGACGTGCACATGGTCAGTCTAATTCTTTTCTATGATACATCCGATACAATATGTCGTTCATGCGTAGATAGACATTCGTGCGAACTCGTTCACAATCTCGCGATGGTGGGAACGATTAGCGCTGGCATATTTATAGCAGCTATAAAAACTGATAAGTCGACGCCACTCACGTTCGGTACATTACAAAACGGACCTTGAACTTCCCAACATGTTTTAAAATACATGATAAGACCTAAGACATCTTGAGGATTTTAAACGCGAGCGAATCAACCTGTTGCACTAATTGTATTTTTTATCCTTCTACATAAGCTTGGTAACTTTTTGGTAATTATTTTATAAAATAATAAATATGATTAATGAAATTTATTATTTTATAATTTTTTCATAATAAAACATATAAACTTTTAGTCTTTCTCTCTCCTTCTACTTTCTATCTCTTAAATTCATAATATCGTTGCATATGGAAAGTCTTATGATTATTGTCATAAATCATACATTTTTTTAAAAATAATCATCATAATCAATTTTACTCGTAAGAAAAAGAATTCAATAAAAAGAAATACATTAATTTTTCAATTTATTTCTTTTTCATTGTTTAAAAAAAAGAAATAGAATATTTTTTACTATAATGTAAAATCAACTTCTTTAATTCATGAATGTGTCTATTATTTTAAAAAAATTAGAACATTGCTAGAATAATCGAGAGATAATTGAAATGATCGAATATATTTTAACTAGAATAATCCATGAACTTAACAATGACATTGACAATTCATATATAGCGCAAGTTTATTTTCTTTGGGGAATCACACACAACTATTAATAATATCAGTCTTGCTGGTAGAAGTCAGACAATAAAGCGAGGTTATCACCATTAACATTCGGATAGCAAGACTCATGCAAAAAGCATCGTGATATGCAATGCCCACTATTGCACTTGAAGATAACCCATCGCACATACATAAGTTTCAAAGCATAATTATAAATAATGCTTTTTTGCAGACGTTTCATTTAAACAGGCAATATCGCGTTAAGTGCGCAGTGAAAATTATATTGCGACCTTAGATAAGTATTTCATAATGACAGTTTTTTATATCGGAGAAAAATAATCGAGTTCGCGAGAAAAGAAACGTTTTTTTAAATTTGCGCGACCCCAGAGAGATATTTGTCTCGATATATTTCTTATATCATTAACGAAACTAATAACTAATAACTTTGTTAAGAAAGAAATTATTGCGGTTATCGCTGCTCGTTGCATCTGCTCAGCGATAAATAATTTCTTTCCAATAAAGTGCCCGTACTTGAAGAAAAGAAGAATTCATTCATTCATCATCGCACGCATGAGGGCAAACAATAAGCAAAAGATACATGGAAAATTCTATTAATGCAAATATCAGTGTTATTTTCTAAAAAATTATTCATTCTAAAAAAAGAGAGAGAGAGAGAGAAAGAGAGAGAGAGAGAGTCTTTGTTCGTATTATAAATTATCTTTAGTCTTATGATTAATGGAATATTACACGCGGAAATGTTGATGACGAAAAACTTATTAATATTAAGTACTGAGAAAACCGAAGCAATCTGAATCGTTCGTAATACAATTAGGTAAAAATTAAATTTCATAAATATTAATAAAAGATAAGAAAGACAATATGTAATAAGAAAAATATGTAATAAGGAAAATTCACGCACGCCATGATGATAATCTTATATTATCCTTATACATTACAGTTTTCCAAGGGAAATTATCTCTTTAAAGAATTAATCTTTAAAGAATTAATTAGTCTATCTCTTTAAGAATTTATGCATAAAATTTTTGTATTAATAAATTATAGAAAATTAAAATATATGATTTGCTGATTTACTTAATTTTTTTCTATTATATTATATTATATTATATTATATTTTATTATTATAAATCAGCATATATGAATATTTTATTATAAATCAGCATGTATGAAGTATAAATTAACTTGATATAGGGATGTTGCAATAATTTTCGATATTTCTGTTATGGTAAGCTACATTTTTTATAACTAGATGAAAATACACGATATTCTTTCTCGCACAAACATCGTAATCGCACGAAAATGCGATTCATGTCCGTTATGACTCTTATCAAAACAAATATAGAATACTCGATTTAACTACGAAGGTCGCCGAAATCACGGCAGTTCGAATCTGCGTGTCATAATGGCTTTCATCAGCCTCGTCCGAGCACGATGCAGACGCGGAGCCGAATGCAGTTGGCGCGAGCGACCATCGCCCTGTTTTCGGTGTCAAGGCGTTCAAGAAGACTCCATTTTCGTATTTACCGTGGAACGTTAATTCATTCATGCCGTGTATCGCCCCGAGTGGAATAATCTAGAACCGTCATCAACCCTCGCGGGACGTTTTTCCCGATACAAGATGTGTAAAATAGCGCACGTCGCACGCAAGTGCAACAAATTGCATAATGAATACTCATTACGCGTTCCGGCAAAATTAACTACGACTTTTATCGACACTTTGAAAACGTGAAATATACGGGACGGATAACTTGGGAAAGCAACCGAGCGCGTCCTACGAGTTTGTAGTTCGCGAACAAGATCGCGTTATCTCTTAGGTAATTTGCAACAAAGTGTTATCTATTATACCGTATCTGTAGCGTCTATGTGTATATATAAATGTGTATATATAAATTTCAAGCGCATATATCGTTAAAAACGCACATTCCGAATGCGGTTCTTCCTCTCGGGAAGAAGAGCGGTTATTTATTTACCATCGAGCTCGCCTGTTCCCCCGTCTTTGACTCGTCCTGGGCTCCTTCCTTCTGTATCATGATCACTCGTAAAACCGTGTCGAATGTATCGCGTATCGAAATCGACCCGTCTTGACAAATTTCGTCCCGAGAAATTTTTATAACTCAGAGACTTACGTGAGATGTTAGGCGTTCAATCCGCGATCGCGAAGCTCCGTACGAGCTACCCGATATAATCGCGAGCCTCCAAACATTATATATCTCTCTACGCGTTAACGATCGGCAAAGAGGAAAGAGCGGTTCCTTTTTCAGAAATCAAATTACTCCTCGCGCGCGAGTTTGCGACACAGATGGAAAGCCATAACGCGCGTAACTTTTCGCCTCACGCGGTGACGGTCTCGCGAACAGAGCAGCGCGCGACGCGAGAATCCGGCGAGCCGCACTCGTCATACTTTTCGCTCGCGAATCCTCTATTTTAGAAGAACTCCCCTTCCAAACAAATCTCTGTTTATTTTGCCTCGGATCTCCCGCGCCGATGCCAATCGATAACCAACACCGCAATTTTTGAGCCGCCTTCGAACCTCGTCGAGAGATAAGTATCCCACTGAGAGATGACCCCCAGTGCACTGACAGTGAGATTCAGGAGGATTTCACGGGGCTCGGATCTCGATTCTATCCTCGCCGACTCGATTTTCGGAGCGCGAATTGTCCCTTTTTTTTTCTTTTCGCGCCAACGAAAAGAGCGGGCGCTCTCGATCTCGATCGATCGACGTGGCGAAGCCGCGCTACCCGAGAGAGAAACTCTCTTTACGGCGCGACGGAACCGCTACTAAGCGGGTGTTGTAGCGCGAGAGCGGAGGCTGAAGTGGAGCCGGCACAACCGGCCGGCTTACGCACACTGACTTCTGACTGGTCGAGCTAGTAGGTGACTCCGGAGACCCCTTCCATATCGCATAGCAACACCGCTCGTAAGGCGACTGATAAGTGCCTGCACTTTGTCAGGCATCGATGAATCTGGCCGAGCGTGATACGTGGTGCATACAAATTTTTCGAAAATTAAAAAAAAAAAGAGGGAAGATCAAAGGCTGACGTAAAGGTTGGAGGTAGATCTTGAAAATCCGGCAGATTAATCGAGCTGATTTACGGGAGATTAAGAGGACTTGATTTTCCACGTGAGGGATAAATCAGGATCCCCCATCGATGAATAATTTATTAGATGGAGACAGGATGCGAGAGAAGATAGAGAAATATTATCGCAAGTCGGAGAAGAAGTTTGATTAGCAAAGTGATAACACGATTCGCAATTATACCCAGACTTACTTTCATTTTATTCAGCCGTCCCGTTTTCGAGCGGGTGACGAATTTCTTATTTCCACCCTTAGCAGAATCCTAGGATAGAATCGCGACTTTGGCGAAATTCGAAGAGGCAAATTCGCATTATCGGGACGCGAGAAATGGCGCATCCGCTCTCGTCGCGCGCGTCCATGCCTGAAATTGCAACGCGCTGCAACCCGGAGATCAAAGTCGCGCGGCCGTAAATCGAGCGATACCGCTCGCGATTTTCGAAGATCGCACCGCGAGGGGCGAGAACGCGTATCGAGAACTGTTCAACAGTAATAACTGTTTTCGTACGCGCGGAAAAAACAACATGTAAGATAAGTCGGTGTACGTTACATATCCGGCGCGATAAAATCCAGGGCGCATCTCTCGCTCTCGCGAGCAGAAGAAGAGGCCGTAAATCAGCATCAGAGGGAGGGAGAAGACGAGACGGCCGGTAATATTATTAAATTATGCGGCGGCTTCGCTTCCTGCCGCTACGCGGATCTCACTCTATCGATCTTATCTCGCGATTTCATCGATTTTCACCGCGACAGGCCGAAACGCCTACGCACCGCTATGCGTAGTCGCCAAACGTAACTGTACCCGACCTACGACAACGTACGCTCGAACCAAAAGAAACTTAAACTACGCTACGAGGGACGGAGCGATGATTTTCGACAAGTATGCGCGAGACGCGCGTCGATTCGCGATAGAGACGAGTCCTCTCCTTTTCGCGTCTCCCGAAGAAGATGCGCCCCTGAGCGCTCGCTCGCGAAGACGCAGGAGATGCAGACTCCTTCCTGTCAGACCCGCGCGCCAGAAATATGACGGATTACGCGGGATGATACACCACGAGAAATAGTATTTTCGAACCCTCGGCGAACTCCCGTGTCGTCTCTTGATTCATCCGTAATCCGGCATTTAATCCCGGGTATAATTCCTCGCGTAATCGCGTAATTATCGTATCATCGGGACCTCATTAGTAACGAGCAAACGGCAATCGTTTATTGCCGGTGAGCCGCGGGGGGAATTAAAATGCGATCGGCCGATTGGCCGTTGCACTCGATGATGATGCACCGCGAGACAGAATCGACCATCTACCTCCATCGCTTCTCTTTCTCTCGCCCTCTCTTTTCTTCCCGGCCGTCCCGTCTCTTTTTTTCTTCTCGGCGACTGTAACCACTCCCTGCCCGGTTTTCTGTCGGTCGTTCGCCGTCTGCAGGAACGCGCGAGTCGACCTACCGCGAGTCGTCACGCACGATCGACGCACGACACGTTGTAATAAGCTTGTAAGCTTTTTCTCGCAACGATCGGCCAAGTTTCCATTAATGACGCTCCGATCTACGAGATTGGCACGTGAAATAGTACTACGAGTCAATTTTACAGAACGATTAAATTTTTTCTCAAGAAGCTACTCCGATTAGTCGGAAAAAAATATTTACTTAAGACGTAATTGAAGAAGAAGAATGATTCGGTTATATTTAAATAATTATTTTTATAGTTTTTATACAACGCACGACTCGAGAGTTACTCAAGATTGCCGAGTTAAATGATTCTTTGTACAGTTGTACATTAACGAATTTAATTCAAGCAATGATAGATAATTGACTTATGTTAAGGTATTTGACTCCTTGTCAAATTCATCTTACTTTGGTATTAAAAAAAATTCTTTTCTCATTAAGAAAACGTATATTTTAAAATATTATTTTATTGCAGTCGTATCAACATGTATGCTGTATTAATGTGAAATTTAATTCACATCATTACACACCGAATAAGAAGACATTGAATCTATATAAGATTTAAGTTGATCATAAATTATTACGAGTCTTCTTTTCGTTCTAGATGGTAATTATTGACGATAATGTAGTCGAATTTTTACATCTTTCGCTTAATGAATTACGTAACTTATGTATATTAACTCTTTAATGATTGATGAATGTCATGAAAAGAAAGTTTTATGAATAATGTAAATGCCATTTGTTCGAATTCTGTAATAATAGTTTCTTTCTGCTATAAAAATAATAGTTTAAATAATAGTTTTCTAAATTTTCTAGTGATAAATATATTAATTAATTAATTAATTATAGAAATTAATTACAAATTAAGGAATTTCCGTGAATTAAATATCAGATATATATATATATATCTAGAGCGTGCTTTTCTTGAGAAATGAAATAGAAAATCTTGCGATGGGATAAGATCCATAAAGCGCTGAATGGACTTGCCGTTCCGAGGGTAACGACCCCCTGACGGTGACCTTTCTAGACGTCACGTAGGAGTGCGAGGAAAGCGGCTTATCTCCGCAAGGAACCACGTGTGGTAGAAGCGATGCCGCAAGCGCGACACACATTCGAGGAAAATCCATCCGATATGAATCGAACGCCTACGTTCATCAAGGTGACCTTCACTACCTCCATTGCAGAATCCAAGGACGCGGAGGCAAGATTCGCGTCTCCTAATTTTTTTTTTCGATATCGAGGTAAGAGTGCATTTTTTTCTCATCTTATTGTAAATTATTATCACGCATAGCGAAACTCTAATTTGATTTTAAACTTAAAAAGAGGACCAGACGGTTTAATCCTCGAGAAAGCTTGCTTCAACTATTTATCATAAGTCTTGGAAAATAAAAAATCTAATAATAGTTTAGAATGAAAATCCACCCAGGTGACAACCGGTGCGGCAGAAACGGCAGATCGTGACCTTTATCTCACAATCAACTTAAAGATCTCTTCGCAATCTACGGTCTAGCGAACGTCTACGAGCGATTAATCGATCGATCGATCGGCGCGACGTGACGTTCGATCGCGACCGCAATTCGCACCTCTCACGAGCAACTAGAAATGCGAACAACACGCGCAGGTGAGCAGAAAGGAGAAAGAAAGAGAGAGAGAGAGGAGGGGAAGAAGGGAGGTTAAAGGTCAAATGCGAACTTATCTCAACGACTTGGTCGCGCGACGATCAAAGACTAAACTCGTTTCTCTTTTTACGTCGACACGAGACTGGAAGGTGGAAAACATTCCCTTGATGGTGACCTCTCACGCGCTCGTAGATCGCGTCCGAGGATAGCAGTGAACTTTATCAGGCTACGACAGGTCATTAACCAACGTAACTTGATGCATAACTGTAATTATAATTGGTCATTACGTTTGATTATGCGAAATAAATTAATGGGAGTTGGTAGAAAGGAAACTTGTCGGAGAGCTCATTTAAAATTCAATCTCAGCTTGATGACACATGATTAGATAACGAGATAGCGTGAAATTGATGGCTTAATGGCAGACAGTTTCGGCAGAAGAATCCGTACTTTCGTACGCGCAAGATGAAATCATCGCACCGCTTCTAAGCTGTAGACAATTGCGTTTATTTTCGTCTGCTGATACGAATTGGTGTGGGAGAGCAATTGCAATCTTCTACGATACACACGGCGAAGGTCTCGCGGTAGCGAATATATTTTTTGCACCAAGAGATTCATCTCGCTGCAAACGAGACTCACGATTCGTCCATCAGATCTGTTGCAATTAACGATAACTTATCTAATCGGTGAACTTTTTGCATCCTCATTAATTAAGAACTCGGTTTTCCTTTTCGGACTGCGACGCGATTTTTTTTTTGGCGATAATTGTTGGTAAATTCAAGGAAAAAAAAATAAAGTTCTTATGCGCATGAAAAATCAATTAATTTTTATCATTATATATTCATAATATTTTTGCATTTACTGCAACGGTCAAAAAGATACTTACATAATCTTGTGAAGAAATGAAATGATATGATTCTGTCAATGTCAATGTCATCTGTCGACCGCATTCATTACCAATAACAAAATTGGTGCGATCATGTCAAATGAATAAAATAGATTTCATTAAGAAACAATTGGTCAAAATGAGTTTAATGCAAGCTATTCACGGGTCGAATTATATCGTATCGATTTACATAAATTTTTCGTACATTACACTTGTTTGAAAGATTAATGATTGCAAAGCAAATGCAAACCGATTAGAGATAATATTAATATTTTAATTCAATCTTCTAATCACGACAGTCATTCGTAAAAAAAATTTTTTTTCAAATTTCAAAAAAATAAAAAACAAGAAAAAGTTTTTAAAATTTGATTTAAAAAGTTTTTAAAATTTAATGACTGAAACATTTCGATATATAATTCATGAAAATCATATTATCCACTTCACTTTAGACATTCGTTGCATCAGAAGATGGTATCGATATTAGACTTATTACACCATTTTTATCACAATTTTTTTCATGACATATTTAAATCCTATTCTTTCTAAAAAAAAAAAGGGAAAGAAAAACAATGGCACGTGGCACTCACCGACTCCTCGGAAAGCGTCCTCCCTCTTTTAATCCCTTTTTGGAAAAGCAAAGCCGCAAGCGGAAGGCATTCGCGCGCGAATGTTCCCGCTCGGCGGAACACTTCCGGTCCTCTTTACGATCGCGAGACCGATTCGAAACCGCGACGAGAGACAAATCGACGAGAAATAAAACAAACCAACAGGCGACCGCGACGTTTGTCGACGGAACGAGATAGAGCAGCCTCTACGTGGACCTCTACGTGGACCTCTATGTGGACGTGCGTCCCGTGTAAAAATGACGGCGACGTCTCAGCCGCCGGAACGGCCGTCGGCGGTACAAGGGCAACGAAGGTCGCAGCTGCGCGTCGCGACACGCAGGTGCGTCTCTGTCTCTACTCGCTCACTCGCTCGCACCGCACGCTCGGTAGCGCGCGCGATTCGGAAACTACTGGCGAACGCGTGACGTGACGAGACGCGACGCATGTGCGTTGGCTACGAAGACGATGTATCACTTCGACGTCAGAAGATGAGGAGAGAGAGAAATCTAAATGAGTCCTTCTCATAATTAATTGCGTTTCTTTTATTTTTCAGTTGGGCTAAGAAATGTATTGTCAAACTTTGGAAAAGAAAGAAAGAAATAAGATAATTCTAAGAAAGCGTAGAGTTCTATAATGTTTCTATTCGATATCGCCCTCTTATCAACCTTGTGATATTTTTCAGATTCTACAGTATAAAAGATGATAAAAATTATCAATGTTTCATATTTGTAAAATTCGCTAACAATTTTGAAAACTACTTAATAATTATTTCCAAATAAAAATACGTTATCAAATCACCATAAAATCGCTATAAATGGCATCAATTGACAATCAATTCCAATCAAATTTAAAAAAAGAACATATGAAAAACCTGCAACTAGGCTGCGCTGTCAACATTACGCGCTTAAACGTGATCCGCATGCGTGTTCCGATACACAATTACGAATAATAGCACGTCACTAGAATGCAAAATATGCTTGATCGTGAGCAGAAAAGACTTAAAACGGAATCTCGAAGCACCAGTCGTCCCGATTGTGTAACTACAGCGCACTCGAGTGATTCACGAAACGACGCGACGCTATTTCAAGCGCGGAATGTCACGAGATCCCTCCACCCGGGGGAGATGATCCGCCGGAGTACGTTCCTGGAGGGAACCGAGTGATTCGCCGCGAGAGGCGCAGCGTTGCGACGCTCGTCGCCTCGCTCTCGCACGCGCCGCAGATTATGCCGCATTGCTGCAAACCGCGTTCGCCATCGCGTCGCGACGCCAGGGAAACGACGAGCGCGGGCTCCGAAAGTCGCGGGGCCGCGGCGGCGGCGACAACGAGACGACGAGATGCCGGCGCGACACGTCGCAGCGTCGCCGTGGAAGACGACGAGGCCCGGGTCGCGGATGAGAGATTAAAAGGGAGACGAAAGAAAAAAAAAGAATAAAGGATACTTGTCTATCTCTCACCCTCCTACGAGCTCACCTTGATCCCCGTCAGGAATCTGACAATCAACAACGTGATCATGAACGTCCGCCGGCTGCCCGGCTTCATGTATAACTACAAGCTCGCAACGGTCCTCCTGCTGTCCGGCCTGTTCCTCGTCGTCTACCTGCTTCTATATTGGGGTGTAATGTGCACGAATCTCGAGGCCTGGCGTCACGTGTCCATCGTGGTGAGTTTGCCGCCGGCGAATTGCTTCGATCGAGAAACGCGAAACGCGAATTTTACGCTCGGGATGGCACGAGATGGGGTGTAAATATGTCGGTTTCGTGAAAGTGTGCGAGGGGTGAATCCTGCGCCGGCGAGGGGTTGAAGGAGCGTGACGTAGGGACGCACGCGCGTACTCTACGCAGCCTCCGGTGGGAAGAACTGGATCGCCGACTCGCGCGGCGAATTCGTACGCGCGGTTCTCGCACGCAATGTGATGAAACAGTTTATTATACTTGCAAATTTTTTATTGTCGGCGAATCGCTCCTACCGGAAATGGCCGCGGTCGCGTTTTATTCCACCTTTGATAAGCTCAGGAGAGGTCGAGGTTTGCTTTTCGATTCGGAAATCGATTGGAACATTTTTGAAAAGGTCACCGATGAAATAAATATGTTCCGAAATTGTAAACGTTTATGTAATTTCGCCATATAAATGAGAGAAATGTACTTAGCACCGAAATAGCGTTACTCGACAAATTCAATTTTAAAAAATGGATTAAATAAACAGCTGCTATCTTTTTAAAGATTTTATATGTTACTATTAATACGTACATTTATGTATTGAATACGAGGGATTTATTGATAAGAATTTGCTCGTAAACTAGGATATTGATGTAGGTAATCTTGCAAGGTATCTTGTATTCCAGTAACCCGAATAACACTCCGCAGATATCGATCCTCATAAAATTTTCCTAATTTCGTCAGGATCGATTCGCGCTCTGAATACATCTCTAAAATGCTTGTGTCAATTCTTACGAGATAAATATACTCAAAAAAGTCTATTAAAATTACAATCTACATATATAATTACATATGTATAAACATCATTATAATCCACTTTAGTGAATCAATTTACACACTAAGCATATAATGTGTAAACGGTTTGAATTATAACAGAAAAAAGTAGAATTATTAATATTTGTCATAATTCTAAATCAATTTTTCTTAAAAAATATCGAGAAAATTTGAAATAATTTTATGATAAACACATCGAAAGCTTCTTAAAAAATTATTATAATTTAACTTCAGATTTTTTTTCTACAATTCGTGGCATAAAATCTCTAAGACTTTTTAGCAATAATAGAAAAAAAATTAGACTGTAATAATGCCGGTGAAGTCTTATGATTTAAGCCTTACATATGTCATTGGATATTACGTTCTAAAACAGTACTCTCACAGCGTAAAATTAAGAAGAAAACTACTTATATAATACTTTACTGACAATGAAACACGCGAGATGTGAGATAAAAGTGCCAACATATAACGTTTGATATGTTTCAAAGCATTTTATACTCGTTTAATTAAAAAAAACTATTGAATTATATTTTAAAATTTCGATCTAACTATCTTAATTTTTTAAATTATCTAAAGATACTTTTATTGTATACAAGAATAAATGAAGGAAAAAAGGAGATGTGCGAAAATAAATAAATATTTCACATATACGTAAACAAAGCGTCCTGAGAAGAAATAATATTTTTTATTTCCCAAATTAAAAAAGATTACTTGTTAAACTAAATCATGTAATAAATACAATTTTAATTTAATCCTACTTACACAAAAAATTGTTTATTTCAAAAAACGGAAAAAATAACAAACTTTTTGTCTATAAAATAAATGAATAATTTAATCATAACTCTTGCTAGTTCGATTTTGTAAAATCGAATCGTTTCTTCGTCACACTTTTGCATCTTCTGCAAGAGGTTTCGCAATAGCACGAACGTTTATTATCGAAACGTGAGACTTACAACGAGGAGAGATAATTCATCCCGTCGATAATTTATTTTCTCCAAAACGTTTGATAAGTAGCTTCGACGAAAAATGCGCGGCAGACATGCGTAACATATGCGTATATACGGGGACCACAAAGTAACGGCCGTTCCCTCATTGAGGCCGATTGGGCCGACTAAAAATACCGCACGAGAACAACGAGCCCGTGCAACGTTACGAAGCGGTATCATGGTACGACGAGCGAATAATATGTGGTACGCAAGAATATAGGCGCATTATGTGACAGCGCCCACGCGCGCAGGAGAGTAATACATATGTACTTTTCTGCTCTCGATTCGGACAATGTGGAGCGAAGAAAGAAGCTATCCAATGAAACAAGCGCTAAATATTCGTTAATGCTATATACATTCGGTTGTTTGCATAGCAAAATATCGAGGCGGAGACAGACTTGTGTTGCATCCTTGTTGTGTATAATGATTGTGTAAATTAATGTCAATGTTTAATATTATATAATATATTTAATATTTAATTAATTTTAATATTAATATTTTATACAATATACATATATATATTTATATACATATAATACAAAGATACACAACAAATATGTACGTGCCTTTAGATGCAAACTTTTATATCTGTTCAAATATAGTTACCAACAAAATTAAACATGCGAACTAAAAATAATTTTTATTGATTTAACCTCAATTAACTTCATATTTTTTCCATTCTAAACTTTTCAGTCTCTTTTTAAAACATTTATAACTAGTAACTTTATTTAAGGCAGAATTCAAAAGAAACGAAACAATATAGTCTATATGAAATAAAATAATAAATATAAAAAAATAAAAAAATAAATATAAAAAGAGTTGTGTACAAGAGAAATCGCATTGTTAAAATATTCTATAATTTTAGAGAAATCATTTATCTACTAATAATATATGTAAAGTTAAAAAATTGCATTTCTCTCTTTTTCGCGCGCGTTTTTTTTCCTCGCAGAATATATTTCTTATTCAATTCTTACATCCTGAAATTTTAGTATTCGCGTAGTAACCGATCATAATTTTCGTTTTAGTGCAGTCAGCATCGAGATGGTACCGCGATGGGAATTCTCTGCGAACCATTATGCGCCGAAAAGGGGATACACTCGCTAGCATGCGAAACTCTTCATGCAGGCAAGGAGGCGGTATTCTCGGCGCATTGGGAAGCGACTCGGCTCGTGTTCAAGGCCTCGAGGTAATCTTTTATTTCTTTCATATACTCCTCCACCGTTCTACATATACGTATTTCGCATAAAGAATTTCAATTCATAAACAAATGTTATTTCAATTCAGGATCAAAACATCCTCGAAGCAATTCGAGTCGCTCTACTGGGTGGACGCGACCGGTTTTCGACACTTCCCGTCCGAGGAAGACTTCATCGCCATGATTAAAGACTTGGTCATCACTAAATTAAACGTTAGTCTCGCGCGACATCAATTGGAGAGACTCGCCCGGTTGCGGACACATCGGATAGAAACCGAGGAGATGAGACGTCGATTAGAGATGGAGAATCTCTGGCCTTTGCTAGAGGAGAATGAATATCTGATGATGATTTTGTACGAGGATAGGGACGTGTTTCCGCAATTGATCGGCACGTGCGGTACCTTTTACGCGGTCGAGTACGTCAGACCGATCGAGACACCCACGACGGTGCTAGCTCTGTCCGATTCGAAACCCGAGTGGGCCAAGAGGCTGAAGCTCGCCGTGATGATCCTCAATCTGCTCGAGGAACTCGAGACGGAGTTCCCCGAGCCGCTTTATCTTTGCGACGTGAAGATCAATCACTTCGGTTTGCCTCTGGGCGGGCAAAAGCTAAAATTTTTGGATCTAGACGCGATCTTCCCGAAAAGCATCATCGATCGCATCACCGCTGACGGTAAAAACTGCGAGAAGCACGAGGACTGTGATTACTTCGATTGCCGGTCGGTGTGCTCGAAAAACAAACGTTGCGAATCGCCGGTTCTCAATAATAATTTACAGGTAATCGATATTACATATTTACGTTATATAAGATATATTTATGATTTATAAAACATTTAATATTTTTCATATATTTATATATATGTAAAATATTAATAATTAATTTTATAAATATTGTATATATTTTATATGCATATTATATATAATATAAAAAACAAATATTTGCATATTTTCGAGATGTAAAAGAAAATATGTATTACATTATTATTATTATTTTTATTGATTAATTTTATTTTATTAATCTCCATATATTTATGTAATATAAATTTTAATATTGTCTTGAAATAAGAAATATATAATGCTGTCATTATTATTATTAATTTTCATGTGATCTGAGTTTTATTAATCTTCGCCAAAAATTAAAAATTTATGCTTGCAGATTATCTGTGAAAAAATTTTTCTTGGCTGGACGCTTTCGGGAACGATAATCATTCCTGGATTGCTGATGTCAGAGCATACCACCAGCACGTTGGCTGTGTTATTAAGACAATGCGCTAATCCGGATAGCGACACGACGCATATACCGCGTGCGGCAGCGACCAATAGCCTGAAGAAACGACTTTACAATATGTTGAGTGAGATGGAACAAGAATACGCGGCATTCATGTGAAAAAGACGATATATTCGATATTAAAAGAAAAATCGGACCTTTGGGCGACAATGATAAAGACGCAATGCTGTGAACTTACGATTGAATAAAATATAAAATATAATTTTTGCGCGCTATCGAGACTAGATAACGCCTGTATTTATTTAGTTTAGCAAAAAGGAATAATGCTAACACATACAATCTTATACTTTTACACTATAGATTTAACAACCGGGTAAATTTCATTTCTACAGAAGTTTCTACACTACAGAAGTAATGAAGAAAAGTCTAATAGAGAGCTAGTGATACCAATAACGATAATACAAAGTTATTTATTATTAAAAGAATATAGATATTTATCTTTGTTAGTGTAGAGAAGTATTGTGTCATAAGATCTGGCAATGAATACACAAATGGATCTCTCGGAAATTGGATGTTAGAAATAAGGGAGAAAGTTATTCCGATAAGAATCCATTATAAACTTACGAATGCGCTTAATTAGAAGATAAAAAAACAATCCATTTTTAGAGTATTCTTATGTACTCTATTATAGACAATTGAGTATTCTTATGTACTCTATTATAGACAATTGAGTATTCTTATGTACTCTATTATAGACAATTGAGTAAACAAATAATTAATTATTATTGTTCGTTATACACGTATTAGTATTAGCGGAATCACAAGATACACTTATGCGAAGAAGAGAGTGCCTGTTATACTATACTTTACATTATTTCTTTTAATTTTAAGTTTAACGTAATAAAGATCGGTTAAAGTGCCATTATGAATTCCAAATAAAGAACAAAAGGACTTTATTAAAAATTACTTACATAATGATGTCTTAATGTCCTGATGTAGTTCCAATTTAATTTCACTTCTGCCGCAGTCCTTTAGATTTTATAAAAAAAACTTCAATACTTTTAAAAGTATCAAAAAAAACGTCAATACTTTTAAAAGTATCAGTTCTGTTAACATTATGCACGTGCACTTTCAAAAAAAGTTATTTTAAACACATTATAAAATTAATAAACAATTGTTAATAATTATCGTGTTTTTTCAAATAAATTATTTCAAAAATATTTTCTATAAAAAATTTTCAAATTTCTTTGTTATTTCTGTTCGTGATACATGCACATTAGAAATTCTTGTTTTATTTATTATTTTTTCGTATGCATTAGTTTATGTAATATAGTATTCTTTTTGTTATATTTTCTAGAAATTAAATAATAACATTTTACTATCGCAATCAGTATGATTATGAGTTTTCATTATTAATTATCAGAAAAATACTTTAAATTATTTGATTCGTTTTTAATATTTGTTATCTCATAAATACATCTTATTTGATAATTTTTGATAAATCCACGACTTCGTAATTAAAATACAAAATAGTTTAAACTCACCGATGCGATGCGCAGCGACTGAATTACACAGCGTTGATCTATAAAATACACAAATATATTAAATCTCTTAATCAAAATTGAAGCAAATTCAAATTGTATTTAATATTTCGAAAGGTAATTATTAAAATATTTTCGTTTTATTCAATTTTTCACGAATAATGAATAATAAATTATTCACCCCATGATTGCTCCGATGTCGCCCGAGGCCCCGGATCTCCTCCTCCTCCATCTCTCTCATTTCACGGCTGTTGCTCCTTCGTGACACTCACTCGCGATAACACTTAATTACAATTACGCGGGCACTCGCGAAAACAATTAATTAGGATTACACCTGAATACAGTTAATGAGCGCGCGACATTTTTTACGACACTCCCGACTTTGTAGACAACGGGCACTTGATTAATGGCAGAAAAATAAAAACGCGGGAAAAGCACGCGAAACTCACGCGATATCTCTAGGGACTAATTTCGCATGCGCACAGCAGGTTTTAACAAATCATCGATAATCACATAAATATTTATATATGCTATGTGGTTGAAAATTATTAAAATATGTTTTTAGTACACACAATTATTGTAAATATATATCGTGAAATAATGAATTATATGTATAAATTCCTATGTATAAATTCCTATTATATATATGTATAAATTCGCGTCAATATCTGAAACAAATAAAGCGCGCGAAAATTTTCTTCGACAAACTGTTGCCACGATACGTTTAATCGCTTTTAATCGAATTAAGTAATCGCGCGAATTGATATCACTTTTAATCACTTGTATTATGTATGGACACCATGATCACAATGATCACATGAATTTTTCGCGATCACATTTCGAAAACTGATGCGACGCCGCGTCGTGTTAACCTACTTGCTCTCGACTATCACCGCACGAATGTCAAGATGACAGCGCGTAAACAATGTAAACAACGTTGCATGTGGCCGAATGACGGATTTATACGCTACGCAATCGAAAATTATTAAAATTCCAATAATTGTGTGTGACTTACTCGCTAATTAAGTGTATCACGATTCCGAATCGTCCGTCTCTCGTCCGCGATGTTTCGTTACTAACTCTGAAATGACGTCAGCGACTACGCATTGATTACTTACTTCAAAGGAATAAAGCGCGCGAAATATTTACTTTCAAAATCGTTGCTCTAATAAACTTACGATATACTTAATCGTATAAGTTATAGATTATTTTAAATTTTTATTTCAGTTTTAAAGATAAGAAATTGCGTTTATGTATTTGTTATAAAGATATAATTGCAGATTTTATAAATTAAAATATTTAATAATATCAAAAATAATTATTTATATACAATCGTAATAATAATTAATATTAAATTTGATATAAGTGTATGCATAAAATTTGCATAATCCCAAGAAAATTTCGTTATAGATAAATAAATATATTTCACTTCTCAATCGCCGCGCGATTTTTGATACGCATTTTTATATCTAAAATTCTCTCGTATAATTATTGCATACAAATTATAAATTATCTGTACTACCGGCACTTTATGAAGGTACCATGGAACGAAACCAAAATTGCGAGCGTGTACCTATCGGGAAAATCAGATGTGGCTATGTAATTTTCATGTTTCACGGTAGAGTCGCCACATAAATTCTCAGATAACAGCTCCTTCCGAGGTGATTTTAGATTCCATGACTGATCGAAACTAAAGCATTCTGCTCGAGCTTTGCTTGCTGTCCGATAATTATCGGTTCGGCTGTTAAAGTCGAGTATTTTTCACCATGGCGGAGAAATTTCAGCTCAAGCTCGGTGGCTATCCCGCAGGATACGACGCTGCGAAACACGGACCGTACGATCCTGCTCGCTATTACGGAAAACGTGAGTTGCTTCTTCGCGTTTGACGTACGCTGGCTCCTCTTCTCGGTCATACGATTAGTAATCTTATGTAATGGTCCCTTTTTTAACGCAGCCGACACTTCGTTCTTGGATCTGAAGCTCAACGAGATTCCCAGTTGGTTCTCGAGACGTCAGAAGACTCCACAGGCATTCGCAGCGGCATGTTCAAGAGGTGTTTACTTTATACCAGAGCAAAAGAGGGATCGCTTTATCAATAAAAAAAATTGCATAACTCTGCGATCCCTCATCACATATGATTTCGAGAATAATAATATTCAGAAAGAACCTCCATCATAATATTACTTTATTTCGTTTTTCAGCATTCTGGCGTTGGCAACATAAATATGTACAGCCCAGACGAAGTGGCGTAGCTCCATTTTTCCAAGTAGTATTTGCTGGTATGATTGGGTTCTATGTGCTGAATTACAGCAAATTACGTGAGTAGAAGAATATCAATAATTAATTTCAATACAAGTACAAATATAATACTCTGCATTATTTTGTTTCAGGTCATCATAAAAATTACAAATTTCATTAATAATATTATAGACATCTTGATCGGAATAAAAGGAATCTATGTATCAGTTGTTTAGGAAAGAGACATCCAATTTGTTAGAGTGTATTTAAATAAACATTCTTAGTATGAACTAAAAATAATAATTTGTCATACTGGTTAAATTAATTCCTATAACAATATGAATGTAATTCTCATCTCATGCATGAAGTAATGATTAAAACTATCTAGGATTAACAATATATTTAAAAAAAAAGGTTAAATGAAATTGTGTAGTCGACCAAACTAGCCAGAAATATAATTTATTCAATACGACGTTTCGACCATATAGTTGTGGTCCTTATCAAGTATACACTGGAATAGATATATAAGTTGCAAAAATTATTATTTACATCTAATTTTCGGTTTGAACCGTAATACGCACAATTAATTTAGTTTAAACGTGAGATAATTTAAATATACATACAAATTGGCCGAAGTAATGGTAATCAGAGTGTCGGCATAGATAATAATCTTGTACAAAGCACAAGTCACAGTCTGACGAGGTCCCACACGGACTCATTGGTTTTAAAAATTGAATTTTAAAAATAAAGTTTGTTAATGTGACTTGTGCTTTGTACAAGATTATTATCTATGCCGACACTCTGATTACCATTACTTCGGCCAATTTGTATGTATATTTAAATTATCTCACGTTTAAACTAAATTAATTGTGCGTATTACGGTTCAAACCGAAAATTAGATGTAAATAATAATTTTTGCAACTTATATATCTATTCCAGTGTATACTTGATAAGGACCACAACCATATGGTCGAAACGTCGTATTGAATAAATTATATTTCTGGCTAGTTTGGTCGACTACACAATTTCATTTAACCTTTTGAAAATTCGACTAGCGATATTAAGCTATTTACAAATTTCAATATATTTAATTTACAATAGCTAATTTCATATTACAGAACCATAATATTAGAATTTAACAGATAAAATTTTTAACAAATTTTAGTGAAAATTAGAATTGTGATCAATTTTTATAAACACATCAAAATAATCTAATCTTTTACATTCTGAATGAAATAAGCGAAAAATACTATTGCTCTAAAAATAACTGTGAGGCCAAATATTATAATCGATACACATATCAAAATTTAAAATCTCAGGTCTAATTTCCCAATGATACTAAATCTCGAGTATAAATTTATAAAACAGATATGGATGCAATTTATATTCGATTAATCAAACTAATATGTGAACCGTTAAATACAGCTGATAAGTTAATAGCTAAAAATTCATTGTTAAAATCTCACGATAAGAATTTCTGCTCTGTTGAATGGGGCAACGCGCTCATGCGTCAATGAATTATAGATCCACCATCGACGCCGCCATTGGTCCAAATGGACGTACGCGGAGCGCGAACCGTTTCCGCGCAACCGTAGACGCGTGTCATTGAATGAACGTGGACGGCGATTGGTCGGTCGGCAGCTGCATGCGCCCGGCCAGCCAATCGGAGCAAAACCAGGGGACAAAACTCAGGTTCACCAGCAATATGGCTGTCAGTATAAATTTGATGCTTGTAACATGAGTTCCTCTCCGAGAAATTTGACAAGCGTAAGCGTGGTTTCGCGTTACGCGCGACGTGATGTGACTTTGGCGTGCTCGGCACGCTGGGAAACGGCAATGCGGGTTGGCTGAAGACGAAACGAGAACAATCGAGACGGATTTCTGCGGAAGCAAAGGTACACCAACGGACGCCCCCCCCGTCCGTCATTTTGACGGCCGCGCGCTCCTCGTGTCCATATTGCGCTAGCGATCTCGGGCTCTGCGATCTACCTGTCATCCCCGTGTTTCTCCCTCGATCGCGGATCCAGCTGGTGGATCCGCGATCGAGGAGGAGCCGATCGCCCGCGTCCGCTCGCCGTATCGTCATATGGCGTTGTTTCGCGCGACGATCGAACAATGCGTCCCCTCGCTAGGTCACACGCGCGCTTCGTCATCTTCACTCCATTCTGCTCTTTTTCCCGAATTCTCTTGATTTATCCGGATCAATTCTCTACCCGAGCATCCTCGCATTTTATAACCATTCGCCGCGAGATTACCGCAATCTCTCTCTTCCGATAGGAGATAACATTTTGCACATTGCCTCTGAAATATCAAAAGAGAGCATGCCTAGGAATTGCACAGCTATAGAGGGTACAGTCACCTTCATGTAGAGATTAACAGAAAATTAATAGTTTAGTTAATTTTAAGAATTGGCTAATAGCATTAGCATTGATGGACTTGTGTTTAAGTTGATGCGTTGTATGAGTATTATGCTTATGATATGAATTTTATGTTAAAACGGAAGGAAAAGTTATTAGTTGAAGTTAATTATTTGTTATCCTTTGATTTAAGGTATTCGTAGAGGATCTGTATTCAATATTATATCATCATCATGACATCAAGGTAAATTTGTAATATTATATATATTATATTTGTAATATTATAATATTATATAATCCTACAATGATAGTATTTTGCTTTGTATACTCATGTGCACAATATGGTATAACATAAGCACTGTTTATAGTCGTCTCCTTTGATTTTTAATCATTTATTATTGAACAACTAAAGTTGTTTAATTTGGCACAGTAAGCAACTGAGCATGTAAAAATCATTGATAAGAAAAAGGAAGAATCTAAAGAAAAAAAAATAAAATTAAAATTTTGTTTTGTGTAATATTTAAAAAACAAATTGAATCTTTAAAATCAATCAACTTTTCACCCATACTAAATATTATACTAAATTATAAATTATATTTTGTAACATCTTTATTAACATCTAGATCACAAAATAATCATTTTCAGTGTTTTTCTTTATTCAAAGGATACGAAATAAGCAATATTTGTAAATATTGAAAATGTATCAGTCTTTAAGATAAGCTTATCTGCTGAATACTTTAAATGTTAACAGTTAATATAAAAGAAATATACTAATTAATTATACATATGTAACATGTATTTGTAAATATACATTTATGTAATTAGTAATGAATAGTCATTACACATTTTAAAGTATCTATGTATAAACTTTTTATTCTTTGTCACTCAAATGCATTATGCATTACGTTGTATAACTTCTATAATCTTCTAATTTATAGATTGGATAGATTATTTATACTGCTGGAGACTGGAACAAATGCAGTAACTAAACGAGCAGCTGCGCAACAATTGGGAGAAGCGCAGAGATTACATCCTCATGATCTGCATCATTTATTAGCAAGAGTTTCTACTTTATTAAAATCTCCGCAATGGGATACTCGGGTATCGGCGGCTCATGCTGTACAGGCTATACTTGCTCAAGTTCCACCCTGGGATCCAGAATCCATTAAAAAAGAAACCTCTTCAGGTAATAATAATATATTTCTCTCTCTCATTGATTAATCCTTACATTTTTGTTATATATAATCAAGAATTTTTAAAAAATCAAATTATGGTTACATGTTGTGTTTTAAATTAACAGAAAAATTGGAAGGAAAACGGAAGACTTCCGCTAGATTAAATTTAAAGTCCTTCGACATGGGCAGAGTTCTAGCAGGTAGTTCACATCTTACTGGATCGGAGGGCAGCGAATATGATTTAACTATATCGGAGGGAGAACAATTGTCACTTCCTAATCAGCAGGAAAAATTAGCTGCAAAGCTGGGTTTTCATCCACGTCTGATGGGTGTCGATACTGCTGATTTATTTACTGTTGAAGATCTTACTCCATTAGTGCAGATGACACAAGTCAATACAATACCTGTTGATGAAACTTTGAAACAATCAGCAGGATTGAGCAGAAGAGAAATGAACAGAGCAAAACGAAAAGTATTACACACTTTCAAGTACTTAATTATAATACTAACATTTTCGATGAGTTATTGATTAGATTATACAAGCAAATGGACATTTTTTGAAACAAATTATTTTACAAATATTATATTGCAAAAAATAATTATTTGTACTTTGATAATATAGGCGCGTCAGTCAGTGTCAAAACAACGGTCACGTGAACCAGATGATCATCGTGCTAATGATGACCATTCGAATTCAACAAATGTTCAATCGCCAGTGAATAATACTGAACCTCCAGTTAAGAAATTAATGTTAGAGGAAGTGATCTCATCAGATGCTGGATCGAAATGCAGCGTACCCAACGAGCTCGTAAGTGGAGTGCCGGATGGAACTGGATGTTGGCCAGACTCTGTTATAGATTGGCCTTTGCAACCATTTGCAGAAAGTCTGTGCCAAGATCTATTTAGTCAAAAATGGGAAGTACGTCATGGGGCAGCAACAGCATTACGGGAACTTATAAGACTCCATGGAAAGGGTATGTAAATATTTTATTGACGTCTTTATATTTTTGCATAATACTAAGTCATGAAATGTATATGTATGTTAATGTACATTTGAAATGCATAGGAGCGGGCAAATCGAGAGCTCAAACCATTGAAGAAATGCAAGAGAGCCATTACGAGTGGATAATTGACGCCGCTTTACGATTATTATGCGTGTTAGGACTCGATCGATTTGGAGATTTTGTTTCTGATCAAGTTGTCGCACCAGTGCGAGAAACGTGCGCACAAGCATTGGGATCACTCTTCTTATTAATGCCAGGCCAGCAAGCTAAAGATACGAATGGTATTTTTCACCAAATACTCATCATAGTGCTGAAACTTTTGAGCCACGACGAATGGGAAGCCAGACACGGTGCGCTTCTTGCACTTAAATATTTACTGGCCGTGCGAGATGATTTGTTAGACGAGATGTTGCCGAAGGTGTTTCCCGCTATTATACAAGGACTTTCTGATCCCGTGGATGATGTGGGTGCGGCTGCCGCAAGCGCGCTCATACCAGTGGCATATATCCTGCCGCGATTGTTGAAACCAGAGGCACTGGAAGCGATCGTCACACGTCTTTGGCAATTGTTAAAGGAACAAGATGATCTGGCCGCAGCTTGTAACAGTTTTATGGGTCTCTTGGCAGCGATACTCTCGCTACCGGCGGCACACGCTTGCTTGACACCTCAACCGTTATCACAGGTAATGTACCTTTTATATATCTTTTTATTATTTCGGAGAAATATATTGATATCTTTTTATTATTTCGGAGAAATATATTGAAATTAACAATTGAATTTGAATAATGTCTATTTAGGTATTACCACGTTTATGGCCATTTCTCAGCCACTCAAGTTCGAGTGTGCGTAAAGCCACGCTGCAAACGCTGCAGACTCTCACTGCGGACGACGGCGACCGCAGCGAGGATAAAAAAGCACGATGGGGCGAAGGCGGCGGAATTGTCTTGCAGGAAGCATTGCGACATGTGTTTCAGTGTGTGCTGATTGAACACATTACTGCGATACAAGACGTGGCCGAGCGTGTCTGGGAAAATCTAGTCGTAAAGAGTGATCTCGAATTATTGCTACACGCGGCGTGCCCGCATATCAGCACATGGCTCTGCCTAGCTATGCAACCAGAACACGTGCCATTCAATCCAAATCTATTAATGATCGTCACTAGTAACATCTCTAAGGGCGCAAAGAATAATCAAACGGTCACCAATTGCGACGGACAATCGGATACCGGCAGTAATGGTGGAAACGTAAACGCCACTGCGAAAACTTTATCCGAATTAAAAATGTATATCGGCGGTATTGAAACAGTAGCGCTCAATGTACGAAAGGCGAATGTGGTACAGGCTCGTTGTAGAGCATCTCGTATGTTAGGACTATTATCCCACTATGTCGTACAGCCCGCGCCGGGTGTAATTTATCCACCAGATGTGCCCAGCCCAGCGGTATGTTATGCCAAGGTATTACTGGCGCATCTCAATTCACGATCGGCTTTACAACGCACGGTCGTAGGACTCACAATGTCTCATTGGGCGACTGTAGCTCCTATGGGACCACCTGTGGTACCAGACATACTAAGGTATGAATATATAATTTCTATAAAAAGATAGAATTTATCGTTTTATTTACATTAATAACGAGACATTTCTTTTAAAGCGAGAGGCTATTGGCTTGTTTAAACGAGTGTATGTACTACGACGAAATTGCGCCTTCCTTTACTCGACTGTTGCACGAAAGTCGCGATTATATCGCGACTTTAAAGTATTATAATCTACCTGTGCCGGTTGATGTAGATTCGTCCGGCGTGATGACTCTGGATCAAATCACAGCACTAGCTGGAAAAATCTCTATTCCTACCTTATGCAGCACGATACCTACTTGTACGATACCTAAGGTGAAGCCTAAGTTAATAGAGAGTTTAGAAGAGAGGAGACGAGCGTTAGATGCCGGAGCTGCTACAACGGCGGCGCAACAACAGTCGTTACATGTTATGTCGATGGCCGCGCTCGCTGGTGCCGCTACAATGTTACATTGCCTCCCACAGACTCCGCAACCGCTCAATCCATTGGTAAAACCGCTGATGGAAGCTATAAAACGAGAGGAGAATGAAGAATTGCAAAAATTAGCTGCACAATATTTGTCTCATCTAGTCGATCTTTGTGTCGATAGAAAACCCTCTCCGAATGCAAAGGTTTGCATATAAGTAATAGTACATGTTAAATATCATTGAAAATAAAAACACGTAAAATGTCCGTAATAATTCTTTCTACATGTTACAAAATATGTTATCTATTACAGATTTCTACCAATCTATGTACATTCCTATGTTCTGACGTCGAATTCACACCGCGAATATATTGCGCCGGCGATAATGATATTTTTGATGGAATACTCACTTTGAATAATAGGCACAAACACGCCGAGAGAATAGCGTATAATCGTGGTGCAGGTAGTGGACTCAGCGGTAGTCGAGGCCCAGGTAGGCCACCAACGACAGAGATTCCTCTAGAGGAATTATTCGCTTGCGAAGAACCAGAAGCCAAAGCTGCTAGAACGAGACGCCGTGGAGCTACGCTAGCATTAACTGCTATAGGTATGTAAAAATAAAATAGTTGTTCCAATATAAATTTATTAAGTAATATTTAACCGATGCTTTCTGATGCTAATTTCTGCATAGTAAATTTTATTCAATATATAATATTAAATTATGTGTATATATATATATATATATATATATATATATATATATATATGTATGTATGTATGTATGTATGTATGTAATTAATATTTATATGGATGATTCATTCATTGCGTAAACTTTTTTCGTGATTTTAAAAAATGTTCCTGTATTCTTGAAGCTACTCTCTTTGGTGCTCGATTACCCGACCGCTTGCCTCAGTTATGGGATCTGATTTTACCGGATATACTGAAAAATACGAATATGCAAGATAATGTACAAGAAGAAGAAGGCAATCAATTGATTTTTGGTTTACAAGTGTTGGAGATCATGGCACCGAGTTTGGATAAATCTCTCTTACCACCCGCATTAGAGTGTCTGCCGCGTTTGTGTAATTTATTAGCGCATCCCTTCAAAGCTGTTAGGCATATGGCTTCACGGTGTATAGCTACATTAGCTACTCTAGATACGGAGAAGGTAATATTTGAACTTTATCAGATGTAAAATAAGAATAATATATATGTTTACAATAAGTCTATATATGTATGTATATACTATAAGTAATATATAATTTTAAAAAATTCCTTTTAGACAATGGTACACATAATACGAAGTGTGATACCACTTCTAGAGACAACTGGCGGTGAAAAGAAATCCTCACGTATAATAACACCAAATAAAGTCGATTCCATACGCCAGGGAGCTGCGGAAGCTCTAACCTGTATTGTAGAGAGCTTAGGCGTACAAGTGATACCGTACGCTGTACTATTTATGGTACCTTTACTCGGACGTATGAGTGATCAAAATCAAGCTGTAAGATTGGTTTGTAGCGCAACATTTGCTACGCTTGTGCAACTGTTACCGCTGGATCCCGGCGCAATTGCAGATCCGCCAGATTTGGTGTATGTCATTCATCTAAAATTGTAGATAAGAAAGATACATTTAGTATATTATTTTGATGAAATTCTTAAAAAATTATTTAGTTTTTAAAATAACGCCAGATTCTAGGCAATTTATTTTAGTTCAATAATTATTAAATTAAAATTTGAATTATTAATACAAGCTGTGTAAAAATTCATTATCTTATTCACTAATTCAATCTGTTATCAAAAGATATAATTGAAACATAAAAAATAAAACAAATGATTTTCATAACATCGCATTACAGGCAAGAGAAAGCTCAGGAGCGAAAATTTTTGGATCAGCTTCTGAATCCCCGTAATATTCCTAACACGGAACTACCGATTCCTGTGGCTGCAGAGCTACGCTCTTATCAACATCAGGGTTTGAATTGGCTCAATTTCCTGAATCGTTACCATCTTCACGGAGTCCTGTGTGACGATATGGGTCTCGGGAAAACCTTACAGACTCTTTGCATACTGGCGCTGGACCATCATCGCAACCCGCAGGCGCCGACCAGTTTGGTGGTGTGTCCACCGACTCTTACAGGTCACTGGGTATATGAGGCTGAGAAATTTTTCAAAGCGCAAGATCTATCAGTTATTCAGTACGCTGGGACACCACAAGAACGTGAAAAGTTGCGTCCCCGAGTGTCGCATCACAGACTCGTTGTCGCGAGTTACGATATTGTACGGAAAGACATTGAATTCTTTGAGACGCATCAATGGAATTACTGCGTGCTTGATGAGGGTCATGTGATAAAAAATGGCAAGACGAAGAGTGCCAAAGCTGCGAAACGACTGCACGCCCATCACAGGCTCATATTATCCGGTACACCAGTGCAGAATGATGTGCTCGAGTTGTGGTCTCTATTTGACTTTCTGATGCCTGGCTTTCTCGGTAGCGAGAAACAATTTGCCGCTAAATATTCCCGTCCCATCTTGGCCTGTAGAGAACCAAAGGCAGGACCAAAGGAACAAGAGGCTGGTGCTTTAGCTATGGAGGCTCTTCATCGACAGGTTAGTTTGCGATTCTCATTATTATCGTAAAAGTATTTCATTTTTATAACGATAGAAATTGATGCTATATTACAGGTACTACCCTTCTTGTTGAGACGAAACAAGGAAGACGTGCTACAAGATTTACCCCCCAAAATCACACAGGATTATTATTGCGATTTATCGCCTTTGCAACGTATACTTTATGAGGATTTCCGAACTCGTCATTCGGCTCTTACTTCCTCTAGTTCCTCATCTTCGAGCGATCCCCAAAGCGGCCACGTATTCGAGGCGCTACGATACTTACGTAATGTTTGTAATCATCCTAAGCTGGTGTTAAGTCAACGGCATCCACTTTATCAAGCGGTATATATTCAAGATATGTGTTTAAAAAAAAAGTACTTCAGGAAACAAGCATTTAATTTCTTGTCTCAAGATGTTATGTAAATTTTTCAGTTAAAGCTTCTTCAGTTAAATAGTTCTTAAAATATACAATGTGACAATACGTAATTTTTTATCCATATTTAATTATTCAATATTTTTAGGTATGCGATATGTTGAAACAGCAACAAAGCAATTTAGCGGAAATCGAACACGGTGCCAAGTTACCCGCATTAAAGCAATTATTATTAGATTGCGGTATCGGACAGCAACAACAACAAGCTCGCTTGAATTCCTCAGTCACTGCGAATCTTGCTGCGGAAAGCGCCCAAGAACAGCAGTTAGTTAGTCAGCATCGCGCTCTGATTTTCTGTCAATTGAAGGCAATGCTGGACATTGTGGAGAAGGATTTATTACGTACTCATTTGCCGACGGTGACTTATCTCCGTCTCGACGGTAGTGTACCGGCAGCGCAAAGACACTCAGTCGTGGCACGTTTCAACGCCGATCCATCAATAGATGTTCTCTTGCTGACCACCCAGGTCGGCGGTCTTGGATTAAATTTAACGGGAGCGGACACCGTCATTTTCGTGGAACATGATTGGAATCCTATGAAAGATCTGCAAGCGATGGATCGCGCGCATCGTATAGGTCAAAAAAAGGTGGTCAATGTGTATCGCTTGATCACCAGATCGACAGTAGAGGAGAAAATTATGGGATTACAGAAGTTCAAGCTTCTCACCGCGAATACGATAATATCAACAGAGAATGCTTCTTTAGAAACTATGGCTACCGATCAGGTAAATAAACACGATTACCGTTTAATCTGCTAAACTTGTTTAGAAAAGATGTATAACCGATATAATCAGTTGTTAGATTTATTCTCGTTGGATAACGGTAAAGAGAAGAAAACGGATCATCACGAGGACGCCGCTTTGTCGAAACTTCCCGGTCTGTCAGGGATTAGCCGTTCCGTGTTAGATATCTTACCTGAACTCTGGGAGCAGCAACAGTACGATGATGAATACGATCTCGATTCATTTTTATCCACTCTGAAGGCTGATAGCCAGTAAGCTTGTACCTCGATAAATTATTAAACTAGATTAGAACTCGGTAAGTTCTCATCGAATACTTCCATTTGGAAATTGCCACACAATATTGACACATAAACATATACATATTATAGAGATCCGACAACAAACTCTCGTTTATGCACAATTCGGAAGTTATAGCGTATCCCAGTGGTCAAAAGCGATCACTTAAGTAATTTATATATTTAAAAAATAACTTACGCGTTTGACGAATTAATCTATTAAACTTTTAATCTAATTGTATTGCATTCTTGTTAAATGTTAAAAATTAAGAAAAATTACATACGTCGTACCTAAACTCAAATAGCTGGTATGATAGTAAGTAGAGATAGATTAAGATATCTTGTAAAACGTGTGTGTTTTAGTTATAATAATTTATAAAAATGCCGATACAATTATTACAATTCCGCATTTGTACCAAACAACGCCACGGTGCATAATTATTTATAATGTATACTAGTCTCTCTTCTCGCTCTCTCTCCCTCTCTTTCTTTCTTTCTCTCTCTTTCTCTATAACTATTATGGCGAGTTAGTAAACTACAATACCAGCCTCAAAATATTCGCTATCTACGTGCATTTGCATATTTTCATTGATTGGAAATATTGAATTTTTTATCCAAATTTCTCTCTAATATTTGTAGCGGCCTTCCATCAACAAGATTCCCATCATTCATTGAAAGATATCGCGCGCAAAATAATCCTAATAACAAGTTGATAAAATACCGTAACTTTCTATCAAAAATATACGAAATATCAACTTGCCATGGCGACCATGAGTTTAAAACCAACAAAATCATATTAACAGAGTAAGGAATATCTGTACAGGTTAATTTTTTTCAGTGCCACACATATGGCTTCATGATGCGATGCGTACAATTTACAATTTTGATTTATACTCTGGAACCAAGTTACCAGCTGCAAATATATTATACGGATCCAAGTGTGCCTTGGTCGCTTGATAAAGGGAAACACCGGCTTCTCCGATGACCTCAGGATAAAAGGACGCCCGTATTTTGCCCACTCCGTGATGATGGGAGAGAGATCCACCGCTCGCGAGTATCTCCTCGCGCGCCGCGTGCTCAATGGCATCAAAAGTCTCGATTGGATTCTCTATGCCTACGTAATTAATCGCTATGTAAAAATATATACAACACCCTGCGTCGTATGTTTGCGTGACACGACAGGAAATAAAATATTTGCGTATGCCATGTGTATGGCAGTCCCTGGCCACACGAGATTTGACATTTCTACACAGTGACAACGCGCGATTCCAAGAAACGGAAGTCTCGAATGATTCTCCTAAGACCCTAAACTCTAGTCCGAGGTCGCGGATGTATGCTATCACGAACGTTAACATGTAACCGCGTTCGCCGTTCGTCTCACCCGCCGCAATGCCGCCGTACTTATTAGCTATCTTGTAAATTTTCCGTTCCTGAGTCGCGACATCTGTCGCTACGTTGTCCTCCATCAATAACGTGGCCACGCATATCTGGTCCCATTGGAAACGCTTTATTTTGGTGATGTACATTTGTTTAAGTCCTTGCAACAGCAATCCACCCCAACCAGGCTGCGGGCGTAGAGTTTGTCCCATTTGAAATTGTTCGTTGTCCATTAAGCGTATGCTAGCAGGTTGACATCGTTCCTTCGCGATCTATACATATTCATAGGATATTTTAAATATTCTTCTGTTTGATATTTTCTACTGGAGATCGTGCTTCCTTTTCATTATCTATAAAACTCTGATGTGCGCAATGGAGCTATCTCTTTCACTATTGTCGTAATGGTATGAGGCAAGTGTTAGCAAAGAAGCACGAGTTTCGCCAGTTAATAAGAAAGTCAATACGTACCTCTCGTAACGCTTGAACGCCGCTTTGAAAATTAGGAAACACAATACTGCCATATTTCACCACTCGTGGTAACGGTCTTATTTTTAACACGACCTCCGTGATAACACCGAGAGTTCCCTCGCTGCCGAGAATCATGTGATCAAAGTCCGGGCCGCAAGATGCACGTGGAACCAAATTACCTCTCTCTAATGTGATAACAGGATCCTCCGTTCTTCCAGTGACCATTCGCATTCGCACCACCAGATCCTCGATATTGCCATACGTGTTCTTTTTCATGCCGCTCGCCCTAGTCGCCACCCATCCACCTAAACTGTTCGAGACGAATTATTTTCAATCTTCCTTTGTGCATACATTTATGTTTTTGTCACATTACAAAAAAAATACCTCTAATTACTTTCCTCTATCATTAGGGATTGAGTTTCATGCATGCAATGGAAATTTTTATTTATATTTAGTCTAGATTAAAAATAGTGAAGATTTTTTTATAGTAATGTATTAACATTATGTTTTTGTGTGTTGCGTATTTAATAAAATAGTTATCGCTCACTCTGAGCTAAAATATTGAATGCAAAAGGAAAATTGCATATAAAGATATCTCATGTAATGTATAACAATTGTGTGTACATGTGAATATTTTATATATAATAATCTTTTATGACGTGCACATATACTAACATCATTATGTAAAACCCTGCAAGGTGCTAATTGACATCCGTTATTCATGTTAATTTAAAAAGCTTTCTTTCATTATTATATATGATTCTTCTGGCTAAATATGTGTTTTGTATTTCAAAATGTTGGTTATTACTCACCTTTATTATATAATATATATCACAGTGAATATAATTAATTTTATTTGACAGTAATACGAAAATTATTATCAGAAAAATTACTACAAAAATTAAATCTTATCGAATAGATAAGATAAAATTAAATCTTATCGAATCGAGAGAAGATTGTTTCACTATTGTTTAAGTATTATTATTAATATTAATTCGAATAGAAAAATGACTTTTAAGCGCGTATTATAAAGAAACAATCAAATTTTCCTTTATCGAAAGTGAACCATTTTATCCAACGCGATATATATCTTGATATATATCATATACTTTGATTTAAAAATTTTATATAATTGAAGAAACACTGCTTGATCGTGTACCTGGAAAATTCATAAGAATCAGGCTCGTGACCGGACGTGAATCCATGAGGACGAAGCATTCGCTCCAGGTCTTGACCAATAATACCCGATTCGCAGCATATTAATAAATTATCCCTGTCTATCCATAATATTCGATTCATCTGTGACGTGTCTAATGAAATTATCGTTCGACGTTCGTGCGGGGAACAGCACGTTGCACGGCTAACGCTGGTTCCGCCACCGAAAGGTATGCAAACGGCTCCGTAACGTACGCACATATTGACAATCTTGACGACATCGTCGTGACACTCTGTAAACATGAATATTAATGGAGGACACTTTGCATAGATTTCTTAAAGAAAAATACACGTTTCTGCTTTATCAATGCGCAATAGAAGACATAGTAAATAAGGTCACAAAAAATACATTTATTTAAAACATGCAAAACACAAGTTTTCTATAATCAACTATTAAGGATAGAAACAATGTTTTTGTTGAATGATTTCTTAAGATTTCTTAAGATTTTTTGTGAGACAAATAGATTATAAATACCGTGGTTAAACTCCAGCAAAACGAATTATCTCCATTTATTTAAAGAAATTATATATTTTTCTTCATAAAAAAACTTTTCTCGTCATTTTGTGTATAAAAAAGTGAAATAAGATCATATATCGAAAATTTAATGAGATATTTTTATATACCGATATATATGTGAGTCATACTATTCTAGCAAAAATATATTCTAAAAATATAAAATGCACACTTTTGGCAAAGTATTCGTTCTTTAGAAATATTATTTTAATATTTTTACAGTAAAATCATGAATTTTGGCTCTTTGTACTGGTGATTTTATAATTTTTAATATTATATACGAAATTGTTATTTACGCGTATCATTCATCACATGATTTGCTTATTATACATAGAGAGAATATATAAGTATTCATAAAAGTGCATATATTTAGAGATCAAAATTACGACTGTTGTATATATAAGAAGAGAAATCGATTTATGTGTGAAGAAATCCTATGCAAAAAGATATCAATCATTTATATTATATTATATTATATTATATTATATTATATTATCAAAACCAGATTGCTTTTATTTCTAATAAAATTTGTCGATTTGTATTGATTAACTTCTTTTTCATAGCCTTTATATTGAAAGAAAAGCAATCACATAAATAATAGTTGAACTTTTTAACCTTGTGCATAAAGATCGAAGTTAGATATTGATTATTCTTATTACAACTTGTACATCACGTATAACATTGAATTATTTCTGTGGAGGATTTTTATGCATAAAGCATTTGACGATTTATTTAATATTTGGCAGTATATAGCGATATAAAATCAAATTATGACCGAGAATTTAAGTAATTTCAGAATTTTTAATAAAAAAATCTCATATTCAGTTCAAATTAATTATAAAATTGTATTGAGAAATCAAACTCATCGACAAAGTTCATATAAGTTGTATACGTGAGCAAAACAAAATTAATGAAATCAGTCTGAATAATTTGAATTTTAAACAAAAGAAATTAATTACAAGGAAAAAAAACGTTTAAAATCATATTAATAATCTTTATATTGAAGCAATAAACCTTGAAAAAATCAGCAGGAAAGCTATTAATAAGTTTTATAAAATAAATATTAAACAAAATAGATCATTATACTTTCTTATAATTATAATTATAGAGAATATATATAGAATAATATAGAAATTTAGTTTATTCAAACTGACAAAGAATTGCTAATAGCACTACGCAATTACATCACAACAATTAAATAGATAGAGTAGTGTCATTCCATTAATTATAGCCTTACATAGGAAAATTCTGCATATGAAAGATAAAAAAAAAATTCTGCGTTCTAAAATAAAAATTAAAATATGCTACGTGCATATTGTTCTTTAGTTTACTTCCGCAAAAAATTCGTATTTCAAATACTAAAAATTTACTCTTCAGAATTATATTATTTTAGACATTTAAAAAAATTTTAATAAATATTAAAAATATATTAAAATATCCAATAAATAAATGTCTTTAAAAAAGTTATATAGAATAGCATGATTGATATTAAATTCGGTTTATATTTTTACAGATTTTATGATGATAATTGACAAATAATAAATTTACTCGGCCATACGACGATATCCGGTATCCTCTCGAAAGTCCCGCATTTCAAAAGATAAATTTCTCGTACAGTATGTCCATGTGCTCGAAACAGACGATCAATGCCATCGGTCGAATGGTCAATCCTCAGCTCTTCGATCGCTTTCAATAATTCCGTCGAAAGTATTGGTTCTGGAAAGTGCGTCGGTAAATTTTGGGAGTCGTATATCTTCATATTCCATGTTATATCGAAGGTCTTTTCGCACCACTTTGTGAAGTATGGCAACTCCTGGTTTCCAATGGGATATCTGGTAATGTGATATTTATACATTTATATATATGAAAAATATAATATAAAATATATATATGAAAAATATAATATAAAATATACATATATATATATAATATAAAATATATATACCTAAGTATATATATATATATATATATATATATATATATATATATATAAAAGAGCATTTGTTGGCGCATTAATCTTACAATTAGAAAATATTATTTCAAATGATAAATATACATATTATAGAGTCAACTTGACCTATTTCAATGACATATATATTATGAAAGACATCATTCTAGTTACAATAAATTTTAGCTATCGCTTATTGTTTATTGTAGAAAATTATTAACAAAAGAAGTTTTATATAAATGCGACTTAATTCTTTGAAATAATTGAAATGTCTGAAGTTCTGATATGTATTATCTGATATTATTCGTGATTATTCTGATATTATTCTGATATGTATTATCTGATATTATTCGTGAATTAAAACATACAATTTCTGATCTTATTTATTTATATTCTGTGATGCAGTATGTTTAAGGATCATGTTTCTGCCATGAGAGAATTCATCGATCTTTTCTTCCTTTTATTATTACTATTGTTATAAGCAAAAGAAAACTTTTAAAAATATGTATATCAGTTACTATCTTTAATTGCTTCTTTAACTTTGTAATAAACCTTGGAGCGGTTAAAACTATTTGCAAGTTAGAAAATGATGTCTTCTACAATATATGTATGTCAAGGTTTTGAGAAATCAGTGAACTCGTCCCTAATATGTATATTTACGTCTATTTTTGATAAATACCCTTATACAGAGTGGATCATTTTAATCAATCTACGCGAATAATCCCACATAATTAAATGGTAATTAATTTCTAATTGATTAGTTTGAATTTATGACTCCTACATATTAGCAAAAAATGTAATAGCATCTCATTTATATTTAAGCTGATCAGAGATATCTGAATAGTAAAGTTTTTCAAATTATCGAACAACCATGTTTTATTTAATAACATGTCATAATTGTTTTAATAAGTAAACATGTCATAATTTGTTTGATAAGTAAATTCGATTAAACAAATATTTGGATAAGAGAGATAATTTTATTCAAATTAACCGTTCCAACTTGCAAATACTATGCTAACAATTACATCTCGCATATGAAGAGATAACAATTACATCTCGCATATTTCAGAATTAATTTAAATATTTTGATATATCTCTCAAATTATTTCAGTACTCTTGTTTCATTTTCTTCGATTGTATCTTGTTATAACTTTAAATAATTTTATGCGAAGCCGATCTGAGCTAATGTTCAATACCGAGAAAAGCTCTATCCTTATTATAAATTGTTATCGTATGTGTCGAAAAATATTTTATCATATGTGTCAGAAAAATGTGCGATAGGAAATATATAGTAGTTATCTATAATTATATACAATTGCTTAAAGAAGTGATAACTTCACTTAATTGGAAACCGAACATTCTTGTTTTACATCGTTGCTCGAAACATTGTTGTGTAGAGCAACAATCGTCTTAAATTTATCATACAGAATGTACGTTATATAATTCTGACTCGAGATACAATTCGTTCAAGACACGCATATATATCCTATATAGACACGCGAACTATATAACTTTGATAATGAAGATACAAACACGATTCTTATCCTCTCATCGTTTCCTCTATTACTATAACGCATTACGCGTAAGATGCAAAACTGTATCACATTGTGCTTGAAAAAAAATATATATATATATATTGAATAATCTTATAAAAATGTTTAAATTTAATTTCTGACGACTTCTCGAATATTTTCGTAAAATTAAAATTATGTGAAAAATAATTGTTACACGTTTGTAACATTAGATTTTTTTTTCAGGAAGCTCTCATCAAATCAATTTGATGACATAAAACGTGAGTTTCACTCGAGACGAAGAGCAAATAAAAAGTACATATGCACTACGGAGAACATCGTGGCGATATTCTTACTAAAAACTGGACAAACATAATTAGTTAGGAAAACGATGTGTTATGAAACCGAGAGACAATATTAGAAGATTTCAACGTTCAATATTCAATGTTCAAGTAAATACGTACCTATCATTTTAAAATCAGTTAATATTGCGATATCATGTCATGTTTATTCAAATTTTCATTTTAATTATTCTCCTTGAATTTTCAAATTGATTATTTACAAAATACTCAATAACTTATTAAGCAAATAAATGCAAAAAGAGCGAATAAATTGTATACTAATTTTGTAAAAAAACTGAGTCAAATATTGCAAGAATAAAAGCACATTAATGAAAGTTTAAAACGGTAATTTTTTTCGCATGAATATTTTTAATATGATTATCATATATTTTTCATTTGTAAATAATTTTTTTATATAAAAGAAGTTTTCTCAAAAACTCTTAATATTTTACTACAAATATTTATGATATATTTGTAACGTAACTCAATATTCAAATAATAAGCAAAACTTCTATTAATCTATTTAAACAGCTAAAAGAGAATATACTTTAATCCTACATTTCAAATTTTAATTTTGTTTCTCTTTAAATTTCTAATTTACTTTAGACGGTCTTATCTGCGCTTGATAGTAGTTACGTTACGAGTTAATTGATTAATATTAATTGGAATTAAAGCAATTATACAATAAATCCAAACACAAACTTATATAAAAGAGCTCAAAAACTTAATATTTTACTACAAGTATTTATGATATATCTGTAACGTAACTCGATATTCAGATAATAAGCAAAACTTTTCCTATATATAATCTATTTAAACTGCTAAAAGAGAATGTACTTTAATCCTACATTTCAAATTTCAATTTCTTTCTCTTTAAATCTCTAATGTTTACTTTAGACATTCGTCTTATTTGCACTTGAGTAGGTACATTACGAGTTAATCGATTAATTGGAGCAATTAATTAAAGCAATTATACAATAAAATTCCACAAAACTCACCTGTTACCGGTGAACTCTACTAGTTGATTGTCATTTACGTGAAACCCGGAATCCTTGTAACCCCAGCCGTTCCATTTTAGCAACTGCTGCCTTAAACACCAAGAAGAGCGACGACCGATAACGTGAGTGAAAATCCGTCAACGAAAGCTAATGTAATTATAGATAGACTCACGGCGCGCACGAGTCTCAAAATATTTCGAATCACTGGCGCACACGTGCTACACACGTCACGTGGCCGATCATTTGACCAATCGACCGTGCGTCGCCCGCAAAAATCGAAATGTAATTTTTCGAAATTCCCCTTCAGCATTTCTCTGATAAACAACATATATATATATATATATATATATATATATATATATATATCAGTCTATTTTGCATACTAAAGTGGTGATAAAGAAAAGCAAAGAGATACGCTCTCGCGTAGATGATTGTAAACGCGAGTGAGCTTAAGAAAGGGGAGTGTCTTATCGATCGACGTTACGATCATGCGACCGCGAGGGTGTCATTCGCGATGCGGGGGAGTCATGACAATGAGTCACGAAGCTTTTACACGACGACAAGAGGTGTGGTCGGCCGCGATTAAACGCACGCGTGAGACACGATACGAGTGTACATATTGCACCATGCATAATTCGCATGTACACGCACATGTGGTGCATATATATATATATATATATATATATATATATATATAGAGGGAGAGAGAGAGAAAGAGAGAGAGAACTTGTGGGTCCTCCTGATTCTAGTTAGATGGAAAAAATCGCGACACTGACCTGATTTTCGGTATGGCGCTTTCGAACTCGATCGGCTCGTTCGCGATTCCCGCGATCTGCTTCTCTGGCTCGGACATGCTCTCTTTACTCGAGAAGTCGAAAATTTCGTATATCGTGCCAGGTATAAACGTGTTCCTGGAACGCGCGGCGACGGCTCCGCGTTCACTATTGACACGCGCACCGGCAAACCAAATTTAAATCGATACAGCCTCCGCCCGACCACCCGTCCACCAGCCAATCCGTAGGCGTCCCGCGATGGCCAATCGCACGCGTCGCTAGTGATGCACGGCCAAGCATTTGTCCACCTTTGTCACCGATTGGTCGAGTAAAAAAAATCTCTAGGCATCGGTCGATGTGATTGGTCGCGTCCAGTCGATGACAGGCGCGCTCTATAAGCTTTTGACGTTTGTGAATTACACATTGCCTTCTTCTCATTTCATCGCCCATGACATTAGAGTATTATGAGAAGATAATGAAGCTTGCTTTATTCTGTCAACGAACAAAGATACGACAGAGGGAAGAGAAAGCATTATAGGTTTTACTCCCGTTGTGCGACAATCTTTGGTATTTTTTTTCGAATTGCAATATCATTATAATTCCAGCATAGCAAATTATTTCGTACGCTCTTGTGATCGGATCTTGACCTGAATGATGCGCCTAGATTAATTAATCCTGCTGTCGCACAGAATCCGCTTAGTATGGACGACGCGGAAGCGTACGACGAGGACGTGAACGATCAACCGGTCGATTACAGCAAGAAGTATACCGAGAGAAATGCTCCGCCGCAGAATCATCTGGCCGAGCCGAGTGCGCAGCAACCTCGTGCCTCGAAGAAGGAGTTCAGTGAACGCGACTCCAAGGTAGACTTGTTCGGTGACTACGCCGAGACCGATCTGGATCAACCCACAGATTACAGTTTACGATACGCCGAGGACGACACTGACGAGGAGGAGAAACAGAACGCCGAATATTTTCCTGTCAGTGGACAAGAGGATACGGTCAAGACTTACTGCACAGAGGGAACTCCTTACGAGACACCCTTCAATTTTTCCACGGCCACTTCCATGTCGGATCTCCGAGTCGAGGATATAAAGGAGAGCGAACTCCCGAAGAAGATGTCGAAGAAGCCGATTGATATCGTTAGGAAGAGTCCTGTGTCCTTTATCAAACAACCCAAGACGCCTGACTGTGATGAACAAGATGGTCTAATAACGAAAGAACTCGAAGAGGAAAATCCAAAGAATACTGTGGTTCTTAATCCTGGCCAGGTGACTCCAGAGAAGATAGTAAGTTATTATGAGGAGGAAACGTCGCATGGTTTCTCACGTGCCAATTCATTTAGTTCCCTGAGTAGTGCAGTGACTTCTCAGAATAACGTTCCAGGAGTTATGTCAAAAGTAGACTCGCCATCTTCCGTGAATAAAGAAGAACTGGAAAATGATGATCACAGTGCTGTAAAATTGAATAACAATCAAGTAGAATTGTCTTCGGGAAATAATAATCTATCTGAACGCAAGAATAATCCACGTGTGTTGGATAAAGAAGGTTTGTATTGGATATCAAGTTTACAATAAAATGAGAAAAAGATATATTTTCATATAAATCTTACAACAGTGCGTTAAATATATTCATAAATATAATATGAAAATATATAATATATGTTTCAGGAAAAATGGTAACATTTAGTGGTCAAGATTATTATGCAGAAGAAACTCCTTTAATGTTTTCACGCTGTAGTTCACTTGGCTCATTGAGTGGATTTGAGCAACATTCAATTCATGATGATCGTAGTTCTGTGATCAGTGATTTTAGGTAAATTGTGTATTTTAAATGCTACCTTTATAAATTTTAGTTCTTCATTTATTGTGTGTATTTTTAATTTTACAATATTATGCAAAATATAATATATATTTTTATTATTTCCTCAGTCGTAGGACCAGTGGTATAGTTTCACCAAGTGAACTACCAGATTCACCCACACAGACAGCTTTACCTAGTCCACGAAATCATAAAACTCAAAGTACAGAATTTGTATCAAAACTACAAGAAGAGACAGTAAGATCATCAGTTCGACAGCATTTATGTATGTTATAGATAATGTATTGATAACATTATTGATCACTAATAAAACAATAGTAATAATATTAATAATAATAATATAAACATTTATCTCAATCTTCAAAAGATTACCTAAATTTTATATCTGTTACAGCATTTTCTAAACCGCAAATCACGATGAGTAGTGTTTTTGAAGATGAAGTTGCTACTTTTAAGGAAGAATCGACACCAATTGAATTTTCTAGTGCAACAAGTCTGAGTTCCCTTACAATTGATGATGAAGTCAAAATATCTAATGATACAAAGATGTATTGTAAATTGGAAAAAGTACCTGATGAAGATGAGAAAGACATCTGTAAACTCGAGACCGATATGCTTAATATGACAATAAGCAGCTCAAAAAGTAAAGAGAAAGAGGAACAAATAAGCGACGGCGATGAGGATGATGAAGATATGTTGGCTGCCTGCATTAATATGGGAATGCAAACTAACAGGTAATGTTTCAGATATCAAACAAAACAATTTTCATAAATATATTTATATAAAAATCATAAAGATTTCTTGGTTATTTAATGTTTAATCTTACATTCTTTTAACATAATTTCTTATGTAATTTTTGACAAATATATTTACAGATATAGACAGTCCCTGAAAGTTCAGGAATCTACACAATCGGAATCGCCGAATATCTTAGTGTCGTATCAAAGAAATTCTATACCAAATAGATTAGAATCACCTGCGACTCCTGTAGAAACGCCTATCAGTACTTTGAAAACGAATAGAACTGCAGTGGATATCGTTGCTTCAGATACCGTACACGTATATTGCACGGAAGATACGCCTGCCGACATCTCTCCGGTAGGATCGCAATCCAATCTGTCCGCTCTTTCGATGCCAAGTGTACAAGAGGATGTGGAGAAGATAGAACCAGACAACCAATCAGCCGAGATCGATTGCCACAGAAGTGATTTATTCGATGAAAGTTCCAATCTCTCAGGCGAGGATGAAAAAATATTAGATGAATGCATTCAATCAGGCATACCTAAGGTATTGATTTCTTTAATAGAATATCTTTTTTTTTATAAGCAAAGGATTAGAAATTGTAATCCATCAAATTTGATGAAACTTGGCAAGTGTGTTATATTGTTCAATTATAATAATCAAGTTCTTATTATTTCGGCTTGGTCTTTTTGCTCTTTCGTTATTTAGATATATTTATGAAGTAACAAAACATGTAATTCAGAAACCAAACTATTACACTGTAAATTTAAAATTATTATACATTATACTATTTAAAGCAACTTATTTATATTGTTATTATAGGCGAGACAAATAACTCTACCTCCAGCAAATAGCATCCCGTTCGTTAAAAAACCGGAAACGTTACATATAATTAACATATACGGTACTCCGTCATCTTCGCCTGTTGAAGCAAATCATGGGAATAAGAATCCTATATTAAGGCCTAAATCGCCAGGCAATGGATTATCGAGGCATCCAGACGACTTTTCTGATGACAGTTTGAATCATTCAGATGATGAAGCAATTTTGACAGAATGCATACAGTCTGCAATGCCAAAGGTTATTATTAGTCAATTCTTTATAATTCTTAACTGAAAAGAGAATATTCCATTTGTACAAAATGTCATATATTTCAATCAGTTATAAATTATATTTCCTTATCAGACAGTTTATTTTAGGCAAGATTTAACATATCACCATCACTCAAACAGCCATTGTCACAAGTCACAGAAAAGCCTAGAGTAATAAATACAATACAGACGCCCTCCACTTCTTCAGCATTTCTTCAGTCAAGATATGTAGAGCAAAGAAAGAATGTAATGAAAAAACGTTTATCTTTCGAAGAAAATGTTGGGCTTTCTGAAGAAGAGGAAGATATCATGTTGGCACAATGTATTAGATCTGGGATGCCAAAAGTGAGTTGTTTATGTATACAGTATGTTGCAAGCATTAAAACAAATGTTGAAAATTCCACTATATAATTATAAGAACAATCTTTTTCTATTTCAAACATGGAATGTGTTCGACAATATATTTTATATTATTTCTAAATAAAATAGTGTCTCTTTAGTATATTTCTGACATATTTATTATAAATACATATTTCTGACATATGCATGATTTTTTTTTTAGACATTAAGTTCCATGCCTTCGACAGTAACATCTACGATAAAAAAATCCGAGCCGTGCCCGAAAACTGCGAAGAGTTTTGGAATCCTTCCATCTTCCTGCTTTACAAACAAGGCTTATTCCTCCAAAAGCGCTATGCTACACTCACAATTGTCGAAATCCGTGAATGTCAACACAGCGGACACGCGTTACACTAGAAATGTATCAGGTAATCATAATGGTTTCTCGGGGAGAACGACGAGCAGCAGTGTAGCACAGCACGGTCAGATGTTGAGAAACTGTGATAACGGTATACGTGAGAGAATAAACAATTCGCCGTATTGTGCTCGCAGATCATCATTTCGTCACGCAGAGAGTGAAAACGGCAATTCCGTCGACAATCATTGTGTACCTGCGCGATCTCGTGTTGTAAAATGTGCGCCGGCTTGCAGTAAGACGGAAAACAATGATTATGCGTGTAAAAGCACGGCGAACACTGTGCCTTTGCGTCACAATTCAGTGAACTCTATCAGTGAGGCGGATACGCGGATTTCTACGCAGGAGTGGGCCTTACTGGAATTGTGTATCACTTCCGGTATGCCTACAAACAAGTATCGCGTTAAGGGAATGAAGCCTAGTGAGAGTGCAATTTCTAATGGACATGATGATTGTGAGTCGATACCGGAGGACAATTATTCAGTGTGCAGTTATAATTCTTACGTTTTTAAAACATAATGCACATATATGCGTGCAAATACATGACAAAATTATAGAATTTCTCTCTAAATCTCTCTGCCTGATGATATGTATATATATTGTATATTAAAAAAGACTGAATATTTTTATATGTTAATAAAATGCACACGCTTGTGTGTTTAAGGTGCTTGGAACTAAAGATCCCATTAATTTTAAATTAATAAGAACATAAATGATTACCATGTAATCATGATAAGTATTTTTAAAATTGTTATTATTGATATTAAAAGAATTTCTTGCAGTTTTTACATTTTGTAATATATATATATATATATATAATATATATATATACTAACAAGTTTTGTGGGACTACATATTTAGGTGCGTGTTGCATTTATTGCATAAAAAATAATTTTAGTTACATCCATACTCATCTATGTAAAATTGATTAAATCGCATTATGTGACATAATTAAGCCATTTTTTTGCCATGGTTTTAATCATAATTCTCTCGATATTATCACCATTATCAAATTAATTTATAATTACATTTCCAGCTGAATATTGATTTCTAACTGCAATTTCTTCCAGTATCTTCCAGTATCTCTTTTATCTTTAAATATCATACTATCTTTTATTATAGGTTTATCATCTTATATATTGACTGAGTTTATAATTTAGAGACTAAATGATATTTACGCGCGCGCACACACATGTATTGTTATATATTATATAAATTCTAAACGTATGATATTACTGATAAATTGCTATTGCAGATGCGGAATTATATGCAGCGTTATACGCACTAGAAATGTTAACTTCTCTACTTTTAAATTCACGATCTAATACAAATTTAATTCATATGTTGCATCTTTTATTGTATAACTTTTCTATCAAAGTAAAAATATTTATTCCATATAATCTATTCTAAAATATATTTTGTATATATTGATATTTTACTATGCTTTTATATAAATATTTTAAAAGGATATATCAATATATCAAAAACAATATATTGTCTCAGCTTCCGAATTTCTTATTGTATATTCACGCTGAAGAGGCTATGCGTGTTTCGCGCCAAGTCACGCACAGTTAACAGCGAGATGAACCGTGTACTCGCTTAGTTGAGAAATATCTTAGATTATCAAATTTTATATAGTGACGAGGCTGGATCAATGGAATTCCTAATCGAGTTTGTTTTACATAATAAAAGTGTTTATTCATTTTTATTCTACACATATACATATATATTTTATAAATTGAAGCTATATATTTGTATAATTTTTTAAATAAATGCATAGACTTGATGCTTTCTTTATATTTTTCTCGAAAAAGATAAAGGAACACAGTTTGTACCGATTTCTTAGAGATTATGTTTAAAAATTTAATCTTATACAATTACAACTTTTCTATTTAGAAATTGCAATACATTTTTAAATTATCAACTACTTGTTTTTCGCAGAACTTGTGCTCTAAAATTTTTAAAAGTCCTCTATAAAGTTGCAGTATTTATGTTAATCATCGATATAAAGACGATAAAATTGGTTATCGGAAATCGGACGAATTCCATTGTCGGAAAGAAAATCGCAGTGTCCGGATTGTCGTATTAGGTAGGCAGTGCTAGTGTGCTAGCACACTTCTTGCGGACGATTGCGAAGAGAGGTCAGTCGAGCGTAAAGTCCGGCCGCCTTTTGACCGCTACCTTGATGCCCTTCGATGACTCGTAATGACCACTTGCACGGCACCTTAGTCTATTTTCTGCACGTATAAATGTACGCGACGCACCGCCCGCACGACCGTATTCCGCAGTGCACCGCGACGTGTCCGTTGGCGAAGAGGCCCCCGGAGGAGTTTCGATCTTTCCAGGTAAAGATCTATACGGTTTATGTGAATTTGAAGAGTATGTCACAGATTAACGAGTGATATTTTTTATAATTCCACTTTCGCTCTTATTTAAATCTTTTTATTTAGCTCAAACACATTAAAGGTATCATATTTTTATTGGAAAATGAAAAAATATAATTATATGTATAAAAATATGAAAAAACAATTAAAAAAATAAAGATATATATATATGAATAATATAGAATACAGAATTAGAGATAAAGTAGTATAAAATATTTATTTGAATATTCAGACATACCCATACAGCACAAGATATTCCATAAACATTCTAGGACATTCGTAGAATATTCAAATATTCATAAAATATTTTAAGATGTTCATAGAATATCTTGTGCTGTATGGGTATTTTCTTTTTTATTATAAAATATATATTTATATTAAAAATAAAAGAGAATTTTAAATAATAATAAATAATATTTTATCTTACAATTTTGCTTTTTGCAAAAATATTTTGAAAATATCTACGTATATTTTCCGATATTTTTAAAAATATGTCAATACTTCCGTTTTCAAATTTTCCTGAAAAAGTACATTTATTTAATATACATTTTATTGCTGTATTCATTTATATTCATTTTCTATTATTACTTCCCAATATTTTACATATGTAAATTATATAATAATTTATATATGTAAATAATGTTATATATGTAAATAACTGAAGAGGGAAATACATAAAAAACGTGATAAAAATATGATAACAATATAGATCTAATTGCTTTGTGGACAAGATGAAAAAATCGAGATGAAAAAATAAAATAAATGAAGCACGTGTAAACATTATTTAATGAATTTGATCGAATTTGTGTCTGAAAATTTATTTCTTTTTGTATTTAAATTTCAGTTTCAGAATTAATAATATCGTTCATCAAATATTTTATTCATGAAAATAATATATATGAAAAAATTAATAAAAGAATTAATATAATTTTCGATAATTATAAGAGAGAAAATTAAATTTATAATAAAATTAAACTTATAAAAAAATTTATAAATATAAATGAATTAATATATTTATTAATTTATAATTTATTTTCAATATATTATTTTAATATATTTATATATCAATATATAATTTAATATCAATTTATAATTCGTTTTATAATTTAATTTATATTTTTATTGAAATCAAAAAGGATTCAAAATATATTTTTAAATTTGAGTTCTCTCTGTCTAGATTTAGTTTATATTGTTAGCTTTCTTGTAAATGTAAATAAATATATACAAGAGCTGTTTTTTATTAGACGAACATCTTTGAATATTCTTTGACTAGTTTTGATATATTTACTTTAAAAAATCGCTTCTCAATTGACGAAAGAGTAGTTAAAGAAAGTATACAGTTCAAAGGAAATGAGTTTTTAACGAGATACTTCTTGTAAAAGGAAAAAAGAGAAAGAAATTAGCCACGCAGCATTAACCCACATCGATATCACCGGTCCTGAGAGGCTCGCGTTTAAATGCAGATGCACCCTCGTGCTTTTCACGTCCTTGCCCTCGCACTGATTGCGGTCGTAAGGGTCGGTTGTGACGATAAAGCAAGATGGTATTCCGGATTACGATCTGTACTCCAAAATTGCTCGCCGGAGTCCCGGAACAGTTCCGGCCAGGATGAATTACTGGAAATTTTTAAAGGATGTATACAGCAAAGAATTGTCGACACCCTGGATGTCTTCCTCGACAATGACATTATTCCGGTATTCGAAGGAATCGATTTGATACGATTTCGTCCGAATGACGACAACAGCACGAGAGAATCCAAGTGAGTTGACCTCTCTTTATAAGAGCTTAACAAGTTAAAAAAAAAGTTGAATGATATGGACACTTTGCGGGATTGCCAGGGGTTCGATGGGTTGTAGCAGAAAAACAGGTAGAAGTAATAGTCAGAAATAGAATTTGTCCGACAAAGGCTAAAGATACATTAAACAGGGAGATAGGGGAGCTGGAATTTTATTGGAGGGTTTCTCCTGTAACAGCTCGTAATATTTGTTATATTAGAATTCTTGTTAAATTTCGAAAGAATGTGTTATCTACCGCGTGCTTTAACATTCAGAGCATTGTATCGAAAATTTTCAATTATTTTCAATTATATGCTATTGGAAAGATATGAGAAAAAAGTGCTTGTTATGCATATTATTGAATACAATAAAAATACTATGTATTAGACTGACATATTAGAGAAATACTTTCTAATCGAAGCAACATATTATCTATCGCGGGCTTTAACATTCAGAGCGTTGTATCGAAAATTTTCAATTATTTTCAATTATATGCTATTGGAAAAATATGAGAAAAAAATGCTTGTTATACATATTATTGAATACAATAAAAATACTATGTATTAGACTAACATTAGAGAAATACTTTCTAATCGAAGCAACATGTTATAAAATTAATCATGTGTAATCAAGTAAAAAAGGATTTGAAACAGTATTATAATATCGCTTAGCGATATTATAATACTGTTTCAAATCCTTTGTGGCTTTTCAAATCGTTAATTAATTCGCAGATAATTACATATGTTTTTTGGAAGATGAACATTATGCAAGTTCGGGAGTTATAAAGAAAAAGATATTAAATGAACTCCTTTTTCTTCATCGCTTATCGATAAAATTTACTGCGTTGAAAACAAATAATTGCATTTTTAAGGAATTTATTACACACACACACACACACACACACACACACACACACACACACACACACACACACACATATATATATATATATTGCATATCATTGTTGCAAGTAAAATCAGATTTACAATTAAAACAATTTAGCAAAGATAATTTTCCCGATAGATCGAAAGATAACGCCAGCTGGTCGACAATCATTTGGAATCAATTGGCACGTGTTTTGCGGACTCACGCTTTCAAAGTTAACATCGAACACATGTTCAACACAACATCGTCCGAGCTTGATCAGAACAGTAATATCGTCCAAAGTGAGTCATAGCGCAAGTTTTATGAAACAATCGAGCTTAAAGTTAGTTTACAGTTAATTTTATAAATTCCTAGGTAGAAGACGTCATCGACGTCGTCACCGTCATCATCACTTTCTACCGTTCATGATGATGGGCCTGTTGTTGATGGGTTCGATTCTAGTACCGATGGGCTTTCAGTTTCTCGCAGTGCTAGGCGGCAAGGCTCTGATTCTCGCCAAAATGGCTCTTATATTGTCCAGCATTCAGGGCTTGAAAAAGATAGCCACGAGCGGTATCAACTATGGATTATACCACGTTCATGACAGGAGCCATCAAGTGCTTCCCGAGGAAGAGAATCAATTCTTCGTGCCTCCGCATCCTTAACTCTTCGTCAAATAAGAATCTTGAAGACACGAATTATTCAAGAAGAGGTTTGCGATGCGCATTGTATTCCCGTCGATAAAATGAGGGATAAAAGCGTAAGCAGTCGGCATTATTTTCTAAAATTCTGAATTATTCATAGCGAAAAGTCTTTGAATTTTATTAATAATCACGTACATGTTATCTCTTGTGCTCTATTTTCTCCTTCAAAATATTTTTTATCCATCGCCGCACATTTTGCCACGAGCTCTTCGATTACGCAAAAATATTCTCCAAACCTCATTTGAGATGTGAAATTATACATACAGCATACGAGTATAATGTATTAGAATATGTATTTCTAGAAGCTATACATCGCCAAGACAGATTTGAAAAGTATCTTAGGAGGGTGAAATGTCTTTCTTCCAATCTGAATTTCAGTAGAATGCTAATTCTAATTGATTGAATTTAATGATTCTATTCCCAATTTAACGAATTGGCGATCACTCGCGCGCGAGAAGCCAATAGAAAGTGTTTCAGGTCGTTGATATCCACGTGTTGATTAATCCACCACGGCAGAATTGCAAATCGGCGGTTGTATTTATTGTTGGATAAATAAATGTTTACTGTGTTATTTACAATTTCCGCTTTGCGGCCATCGTTTTAATTGTATCTAATTTAATTGTGAAAAATTCGCTCGCGAAATCGTTTTATTCTGACACGCGCGATTCTCGTGTCGATTGAGAATTGTTGTTTGTGCATCTAGGAGGAAAATTATCATTTTGAAGGAATGTACATGTATATCATAATGCGTCAATCAAAACCATGTTCATTAACTGATCGTATCATTTCTGTATTTCCCCTGTAGAATGCAATGATCGAGGAGACAGTTACATATGTCCGAGGATCGTCCATCTCCCGTTTGTTAAATTCGAACATATGATAAAGTCAGATGATAAATCGCAGTTTTTTTTTATTTATTCAGTGTTACATAAGGACGCGTCACTCTTCATGAACTTCTATAGACAACAGACATGCATACGCAATGTCTACGATTTACATCTAAATAGGTAGGGTGGTTTTAACGTTTATAAGATACTTTGGCTCAACCGCATGCAAAAGATCTATATTGAAATATTGATCGCTACTTGCGATTTTCTTTTATTTTTATTTCTATATTTTACATATTATGTAGAGGATAGAGATTCGTATAAACATGCGATTATTAGTTAACTTTGTATCAATATTTCTGTGATTATATCAAATAATATATAAAAATTTTTCTTAAAAAGTTTAATTAGGGATAAACATTCAAATTTTATTTATTTAAAATTGTATGTATCTGATATGGATACGATATAATTATCTTTTGCGTTATAACTAATTTTCGATTAATCGTTAACCATCCGTTTTATATCATATATATTACAAAATATATAATATTTATTAATTATTTATTACATTGTTATTTATATCATAAGTCGATTATAGAATTATTTTAATTTTTTGTACATTAAATATTTTGATTAAATATTGTTATCTAATAACATATAAAATTCCAATTACATATTCACCTACTGATTTCTACTATGATATTTTAATTTAAGATTTTTTATTTTCTTCTGTCATCTGTCATTTCTAACATTCTTCTATTTTTCATCATTATCTTGAAAGATTTCTTACTCTCTTTAAATTATTTAAGAGACTGACATATTTATATTTATAAGATATATATTTCTGTATATATGGTTATATCAAAAATTGAATGAAAAATTGAACTCGCTGATATAATTATATAATTTTCAAATTTTAATTATAATTAATGACATTATAATAATATGTTGGAATTTGAGAAAGAAAAAGGAAATTATTACAGGCAAAAAATCATTTGTAAAGCTTACAGGATATCACCTTGAGTCACACGGACGACGACTCCTCGCCATTATCATCGATTTCAATTACTGCTTTCAGATTAAAGTCGGACAAGACGTCGCGATGTCGAGACGATATATGAATTTCTCCAGGTTGTGCTAATCGAGCAATCATTTAATGTCCATTTCGCTGACAGAATGACATACGCGAATCCTGCCGGACCTCAACGTCACGCGGCGATCGTGTATTTCGATACGCAGATAATAAATGTTATTATAGGCACAAATATTGCAGAATATTTAAAATATCAACCTCTTCACTCTTTTTTTTGCTACTCGATGATACAATATTCATCATGGTATTTGATATTGGAGCAGAGTCGTAATAATGATTTTCAGCAATTGCAATAAAACCCCTCGGTAATTGTTGTTCCTTTGACATTCGAATAAAGTTGGATACAGAAATAAATAAAAAAATAAAACAAATTTTCGTTGTTAAAGTTTAAAAAAAGAGAGAAAGAATCTATAGCTATATATATCTTAAATTAAATCTTTCATTTTTTTCGTAACATGTAATTGATTAGAGTACGAACAAGTTTTATTTTAATTTTACGTTTTTGATTCATGCTTTTAATTATATTGTATCGATTTTCAGAATATTCTAAATTATTGAACACAAATACAAAGCGTAGTTTTTTTTTTCTATAAAGGTAATTTTGATTTAGAAAAAATAACAAGGTACTTGTGATTGTCAAAGCTGTCGACAATGAAAATAAAAAATAAGAGACATATCTTGCAAATTGACTTTTGAAGATGTAAATAAATGTGTGACGTGAGTATTTAAATGGATAAATAGTTAATTTTCGAAAATTTACTTTTTAAAAAGAGAAATGTCAGCGGGAATACGTAACAACCATACAACCAGGTGGGATACTTTTGTCCCCCCAGATAGGATGATTATCGTGCTCTATGCGCGCGCCCACGCCTCCAAATTCAACGTGTCAAGTTATTATACTGTGTAACGATAAGGTTCGGGGTTGCGCAGCCGAAGCAGGACGAAGCGAGGAGGCTGTGGACGAGGCGGCTATAAGAGGGACGTTGTGCGTCGCGACGCCACCAGAACACCTGCCGCGCTCGGGCCAACCCCACGATTTTGCGCTCTCTGATCTCTCGATAGCGATCGAAAAGACAGACAACGGCCGATCCAGCTGTGAGGGAGAGAAAGAAAGAGAGAGAGAAGTTTAGTTCTTTACTTTACGCATAGTTTTTCGCCGATTCTGTTTCTTTCTGATCGGTGAGAAAGATGTTCTCCAAGTCGATTTCAGCATCGATCCTCTTGTTCAGCGTCGTCGGCGCGTTTCATGTTGTGAGAGCAGCGATTGACAACGATCACCGACAGCAACAGGTAAATATGTATTGCTCGAATATGTATTTTTAAGATTGAGATATAAAAAGATAGTAGAGAGAGAGAGAGAGAGAGAGAGAGAGAGAGAAAGAGAGTATTTTGACGAACACTTTGTGTAGAATTTAAAATCTTCTGTTTTATAATATATTAAACACATACATGATTATAACTTGAAGGAATAAATTTCTTCAAAATAAAGATAAAAAATTTAATATGTTCATCATACACATTTTGATTAGCATCATATTTCAAAAAGTCTTTATTACATTCTTTTTCAAATTAATTTCTAGATAATTAATAAAGATGAAATTTTGGGAACAAAATAAACGCGATACATTTTAAAAACTCTATCATTATAAATAAATGTGATATTATATTTCTTGGTCCTTTTCGAGTGAATTACAAAAAATTATTTCCAGAATTACACAAAAAAATAAATTACATTGATTTTGAAATAAAAAATGAGCGGCAAGTTAAATACATACAATAATTTAGTTAACTATTCTCTCGTGAGAAATAAGGAAATCACTTCGTCAAAATTATCATGTCAACCGTCTCCATCAACACACAGAGAAAGACTAGACAACGTTTATTAGTCTATCATAAATATTGTTTAAATTTTCAGTGTCTTTTTGTAAGTTGATCGTGTTGTCAAACTTTTTTATAAAAAACATTTCGATTTATCTCTTTCTCACGTGTTTCTTATTATGTAAAATAACCGGTAATGACCAATCGAAATCATGATTAAATTCAACTTTATGTTTACTGATAACAGAAAAATTACTTTCGTGCACTTTTATGTTGTTGCGATATTCTTTTACACTAGTGCTTACATGTCTTTTTGTTTGGCCAATATATGACTTGTTATAATTTTTGCAGTCTAATTTGTAAACGACTTCCGTCATGTTATTAGTAGGCAGCCTATCGTGATTCACTTTAATAAAAAGTTTGCCAGTGTGGTCGTTTTTAATTACTTCTTTTATTTTATTTACTGGCGACCTGCAAGAGTTTAATGTTATTATATTTCTTGATGGAAAAATTATTTTAAAATCATTAAAAATGATATCTACTTCTTTAATGTATGTTTCAAATAATCATTAAGGGGTATATATAATGATTATAATAAAGAAAATATTACACTATACTAAACTCATATTTAAAAAATTATCTCGATTAAAAAATTCACTCAAAAAAATATTAATTTGATATATGAAATATCTCTTTTTCTTTCATAATTTCCACAAACATAAATTTAATTACAGATTAAGAAAACCTATTAAGAGAACTATTAAGATTTATTGCAATATTTCTCATTCAACATTAAATTCATCATATATAAATTCCTCGTAAACGAGTGAAATATTTTTTTTTTATATAAACGATAGATAGTTTTGAAATTTATAAGATAAAGTTTTTTAATCTTAAGTTTCTATTGAGCCTCACATCATTGTTGTGAATACGTTTCTCTATCTTTTTAGCACTGTCAATCATACTTTTAGCTATTCTTGTAATTTTCTTTCTATTGAAAGTAGGTAGAATTCATTTAAGAACCGTTTTAACGTAACAAACTCAATGAAGATAAAATTGCTTTTATAGCAGGCCGTCATATGACAGAATTATCGTAGCTTCCTTTCGCAACCAATAAGAGGAACTCTTCCCTCCTTCTTCACTCTAAGATAATTAATTACTTAATTAATTTTGTTTGCTACATTTCTCCCCTAAAATTTAATCAATTTAATGTGTTTATAACATTAAAATATTTTATGGAAATATATCTGATATTATATTACATTTATGCAATGAAACATAAATATACAGAAATAAATATAGAACATATATAACAGTATGTTACATTTCAATAATGATACAAAATAAAAATATAATTATATATAAAATAAATTTCAATAGAAGTAAAAAAGATTTAGTAATATAATAATGTAATAAAAGTAAAGAAATAGTTATTATATACCACTCTTTTACGGAACTTAAAGATAAATGACAAATTGTGTTATATAAAAATCTCAGAAACAGAAGAGATTCGAGAACTGTAAAAGCTTTAAGAACTTTTGAATTCTACTGCAACTGATGTAATTTGCCAACTTTTAACAAGTTTTGATTTCTTATCTCTAACTCGTTTTTAATTATAAATTTATCTTCTTTATCTCTTTACTTTTATAGAAAAGTAGACAGAGAGATAAATAAACAGGATTAAATTATCTTTATTAAACTTCTTATAATATTTTATAATAAAATGATAAAATTTCTCTCTCTTATTTTTTCATAATTTTTATAAAAGGCAGACTTTGTGCACAAAGAAACAAAAGAATTTCTTAGCCTATATTAATCTCTATTAAATTATTAAAATTCAAAAATTATTTAATTTAATTATTTAAATTTATCCAGACATTATTATAAATTGTGCTTTTCATACATTTGTGTTTTTCCTACGTATCTCTTCAAAAATTAGGAAGTATTCTAAAGTACCCTATATTATAGTGGATGTTGTCATGCCCTTATTAGCGATGTGCGATAATTATTTTGCGCACTACAATCAACGAGTGCGCTCATACGCGATTGTCGAGGTCATCATTCAGACTCGATTTCTCGCCAATTATTTTCGAGACAGATTTATATCTAGCAGGCGAAGGAACACGGTTTTCCGTATAGCGGCTTCGTATCCGCGTGACAGTCGAGAAATAATGTTAATTGAAATAACGCGGATATTACCTCGCGCGCGTACAGCTTTCGACCACGCGCGTGTTCGTGCGGGGAATGCAATTTGCACGATTTTTGCCCCAGCGCGACAAAATGATGGAGCACGAACGGAGATACAACAACGAGATTACCCTCGGATTTAAAACGCTGTACAGGATATTTTATTAGCAACTGTTTCTCTCGTCAACAGAGATTTTTTGAGGATTTGATACCGATTTAAGGTGTCTTCGGAGCCAATCGCGCGATATAAATAATCGCCATCCCTGCTATTATATTTGTTAAACAAATTAGAGAAAGTATGCAGTGTCAAATTGTAATTAAATAGCGCACTTTAATTTATTTTCGTGTTTGAAATAGTTCTGTAGTTTGATGCGAGATGCTTGGAAACTGAGAGAAATGGGATAGTGTTGTCAATTAAATAAAAACAAGAGAGAGATTTTTTTGTGAATAAAATGAAATAAATAAAACAAAATATAATTCCTAATTTGTGTTTTGAACATTTCATCTGCACGTGCTTTGTGCTTTTAACAGAACTGAAATCCATTTGTCCTTTTAAACAAATATTGCATTACACATGGTCAGAGAGTTTAGTATATTTATATTGTCAGTAATAACACATCTCTAGAATAAGTTTGACTGCGATAAAAATAATTAAACAAACGTTGTTTGTTTAATTATTTTTATCGCAGTCAAACTTATTCTAGAGATAAATAATATTTATTCAAAAAATACAGTAAAATGCAATAAAATATTTTTTCATGGATAAATAATATTTATCAAAAAATACAATAAAATGCAATAAAATATTTTTTCATGGATGATAAAAAAAGTTTGATAGCATGGTATGTTAAACGCACATAAACTTGTTCGAATGTTTCGTGCGAGGAAAAAGCAAGAAATGCGCAAGAAAAGCACGTATAATTAGACTTTGCAAACTTCAATCGTTATGTTGTGCGAAACTTGTATATGAAAGCAAATCAAAGGGTAAAGTTTACCCTATATAAGTCTTTCATTTTCATATCATTTGTGTGAACAAGCAATTATCATAATATATATTTAATTTAATTGAGATTGCTTTATTATACAGAGAGAAAAGAGAGAATTATGGTGTATATATATATATATATATATATATATATATATATATATATATATATATTAACTCTCTCTTTTGAAGAAATAAAACAAGACATTCGAGCAATAATACGACAACATTAATTTAATGATCGTACGATTCTCGATTTAGAAAATATCTCTTTTAAAATATATATATATATATATATATATATATATATATATATATACTGTAAAAGAAATATTTTCTAAATTGAGAATCGCACGATTTTCTCGATTTAGAAAATATTTCTTTTAAAATATACATATACTTAAAAGAGATATTTTCTAAATCGAGAATTGCACGATCGTTAAATTAATGTTGTCATATTATTGCTCAAACGTCTTGTTTTATTTCTTTTTGCGAATATTCATAATTTTAGTGACATTTTGTCCGTGTCATCTTTTATTTTCTCTTTCAAAGCGTATAACATGAAAGCACATTATAAATATATACGTCAAAGTTCGTTTTGCCTGTTGCTTCACTTCTCTTGCGTATATGTCACGTAATAAATCAGAAATTCTACGTGCACTGAAATTTCCAATGTAAGCATTTGCACAAGTAAAATGGAATAATTCATTGTTCACCGAAAAGCTCCACCTTTAGCCTTTTCGGCACTGCTTGATATTATACAATTAGAATTTACTATTGGACAGAAGTATTATTAAATTCATAACTCAATTATATATTGAAATCTAACAGCGTATATTCATATAATTATGTTTTCCTAGTTAATCAATGAAGCTGCCAATATTTTGGCTTATGAAGCGGGAGCGAAGACTTCATTTGAAATATCTCGAGAACGTTATCAACCAATTACAGGTAAGCGAATAATTTTGATTGTAATTAATTTATTGTTTGACACGAATAGGTTAATATTTTAAATAATTCGTTCAATTATACTTTATTTCAATCGTACTTTATTATATTTTGCTAAGGCAAAATAGACGGGAAGGATTTAGAAAAAGTAAAATTTTCCGAATAAAATTTTAGAAAAAAATTTCAGAATAATTATTTAAAATAAATTTAGAATTCAATAATAAATGATCTTTATGTGATCTTACAGTTATACTGCACATTATTTTTTACAGTATAAACGTTTATTTGTACGTTTAAACAAATATGCAATCAACATCTTGTTTTCATTGTATCGCATTATCAATGTTCGATAAACGCTATAGCATTTGCTCGTGTAATTGAAATCAGCGATAATGCGGTCGGGAACGGGATAATCCGGACTCGGAAAGATTTGCTCGGTATACATTACGAGAGCTTACATGAAACTGCGTTTCTTCAATTGATAATAGCTTACAAATTAGCCATAATAGCTATAATAGCTTATAAATTGCGATACATATCGCAGTTTATAAGCGTAAAAGAATAACTGTATTTTTTTCCCTCCGTTTTTCATTATTTTCCATGATTCACGATTGCAAATGAAACAGTTGAAAGCTCGCAAAGTATGTAAAAAAATATTTCAAATTATTCCAAACTTAATAAAAAAATAATCATCGAATAATAAGCAGAATTTTCTGCAATTTATATGACAATGTTAAATTAAAGAATTTAAATGTAATCGAAATTTTTCATTATTTTATTGATCATAGCTTATACTTTATTTGTATATTTTTAAAAAAATTACAATTACGGAGAATTTCGACGAAATCATGTCACGTCAACCATGATTAATTATTGATATAGCAGTCTTTCAATTAATCATGTTATATTTACATAATATAAATTAATGACTTATATATGCTAATTTACTTATATATGTTAATTTATACTTATTGTTTATAAAATTAGTAAACCTGGAATTAATATAATTAATTAATCTGAATAATTTGCTCCATTTTGAACTGAGATAGAAAGAGAGAAATTCCACATCATATATCATAAATTATATATGTTATAAATTTTTTATTATAAATCTCTATCGTAAAATTAAAAATAAGTTTTATATATTACTACAATCTAAAATCTTTTTTATATAATAAAAATTTATATTTTATTATTATTTAATTTAAACTCTAACTCTCCATTAGAAATTTCGATATAATCGTAATCTGTATAATTAATCCGTGTCTTAAACTAATACTTCTCAATTGTGATTCGAAATATATTATGTAAATTTTTTACGATTTTCATTTATAATATCTACTTAGAATTATGTTAATCCGTTGTAAGACGTGTAAAAGTTTTATACGTAAACCAAGTATTTTGATTGCAACGGAAGCGTATCACACGCTTGTAAGCTTTGCTATTGAGTCATTTGATACGGTAACTGTGTTACTGCACAAATTGTGGACTGCGTTAATGGATGGACGGCGCAGTTTCCGCAACAGTGACTTGGCTAGTATATTTTTCCATACATTATGTATTACCCGATAATCAGATGCGATCATTCCGAATTGCATCGAAATCTACAATTAAGATCGCAAACAATATAATTGCAAAAATGATAACAAAAATTAAAATTATTTAATGTAAACGAGAATTTAAATTTTATTTTCCAAGTTTAATAACTGTTTTTCAATTTAATAACTGTGTTTAATATTTAGGTACATAATAATCGTTTGATAATCTTTTATGAAGTTTTATCAAACCATTATATATACGTACATCTTCTACATTTCCTTTGAAGTTCTTTCGTTATATCATTCTTTCGTGATATCGTTTAATCCATAAATATTTATTATCTTTATCCGTAAATCTTAAAATATTAAAGTCTCTCATTTAATAAAATAATTATTAAGGATATAAAAATTTTTAGCTATAAAATATAATTTTGAAAATGTTATTGAGAAAAGATCTCTATTTTAATTTATAAGTTGCACTTTATTGTGCGATAATTTATAAAACATATTCTTTCGCGTCACTTAATTTACATTACTTTATGAATAGTAATATATATAGTACAATACAGAATATAAAAAACGAGAATAAATATAACTATTTTATAATCCTACAATCATAATACATGAGTTTTCCTGTATATGTGCAAATTTTCAAATTTGTAGGAAAACAATTTTGCATTATAATACAGTTCATAGTATATGCATGGACAAGTGCATTGAAAAATATTTGTATTTAGTATGAATAATGATTAAAATAATTATTGATGTTCTGTTACAGACTGCATGTTTGTTACCTCGGAAAATGGGCCGTTTTCCTATATATCGCCGTCCGACAGTGATGACGTTTGTGGAATATACTTTTTAACGGATCCAGATCGCACAATAGAGGTTCATTTCGAGAGCTTCGATGTTCCCTGCGATCATCATGGGCTTTTGGCGGTATGTAATATCATCATTAAACGTCAATTTTCAGGCCTGCGATTATCTTATTTGCAATCAAAGAGATACAGGGATGATATAGTAAATTAAAATCCATTTTTAAAGCATTGAAAAGAATCATTAAAGCGGAAAACTATTGTTTTTTCATAATACATATGAGATTATTTGAAAATAAATTATTTATTTCAAGATTATTTCAAGATTATTTCAAAGCCAATACATTTAATAGTACGTCAAAGTTTATTAATTTAGATAAATTTTTGTATGTAAGAAAAAAAAATTATAAAATGATAATAAAAAAGTAAAACATGATATATTTAATCTAATATTTTTCTCTCTATATATTTCTCTCACTAGTTGAGATATAATATATGAAATAAAAAAGCTATCAAATTCTTACAAATGTCACGAACAAAATCTTTTGGATTTTCTTTGAGAAAAATTTTCTTGAAAAAAAGTTGAGGTGAAAAAGAATGTATGTCGAGAAGAGGAACTTTTATGATTATTGGCTTCCTCCAGTTCATAGTGACAATAAGCAAAACCCTTGAAAGCTATCTGCATAGAACAACGACGCCGTAAACGAATTGTCGCAGCGCATGTGCCAATTTTACGCAAAAATCGAATCGCCAAGTTTTCCCTCCCCGATTCACGCTTGTTCCCCCTTGTTGCTATTAATGGAAAACTCCTGTAGGGCAAACTTGTGTAATTTCCACGACGGACGCGGTGCGTCACGTGTCGCCCAGAAGTCAATGTTGCAGAGAACAAGTGTCTAACAGCACGAGAAGTGAATTTTGCTCTGCAAGATGTAATTTCTCTGCATGATCGCAACTGTATACTTCGATTATTGATTTTCGTTACATTTTGTAACTCTTAAATTATTTATAAATTTTATATAATCTATTTACGTCTCTCTCTTTCTCTTCTATAACACTTTTTTTATAAATTTGTATAATCATAAATATGTGAAAAATAAATTTATATACTTATAAATATTATAATATACGTAAAACACATTTGGTTTAAAATAATGCATCCCTATTTGAACAATCAAGCATTTATAGCATAAGCAGATAACAATTTTACATTTTTGCAAATTTTATGAAGCGATTAAATTTTTAATCAATCATTTGGCAGGTAGTTGACGGCTGGGAATTAAACGGCGAATTATTTCCAAGCGAGGGCGACCATTCGTTACCAATAAAAGAAAGAGTGACAGAGTTTTGCGGTAAGAGCAGGTGGTATCGAAGTAAGAAGATCTTTACGAGCTCACAGAATGCTGCGCTCCTCCAATATAGAATACCTATGCGTGGGAAAGGTTTCGTCGTATCCGCGAGATATCCAAAAAATCCAAGACGTGAGTATAATGATTTAATTATGACTTATTATGATTTAATTATGATGTATTATGATTTAATTATGTTAATTATTAGTCTGAATCTCGAAGAACATGTAATTTCGCAATCTAGAAAAATGTAAAATATACATCTCGTTCGCGTGAGAATATAATTTTACATTTTTAAGAAGAGTATGAAAACATATAAAAGGAATATTTTCCAAAATCAAACAATAAGACTCTACTCCGGAATTATTTTCTCTTACATTTGTATTTTATTCAAATTAATTATATCTTTATAGTAATTAAAAAAAAGATATACATAAAAAAGTTATAGAAATAATGTAAAACAATATTTTATCTATAGAATTTAGCTAAAAATAAGAAAATTAACAAATTTGCATATTACTTGTACATTATTATATTTCCTTTTAATTAATTATTACTATTTCATTATATCTTAACTATTATAATTTATTTCTAAATAGTTGTTGACGATTAATGAAATATTCGAACGCAACATTTCAAGTCGAAGTAATGAACATCGGAAAATCGATGCTACCTGTTCTGAATAGCAATGCGAAGTGCCCATAATACATTAACATTGCAAATTCGTGGCGGCATCAGCGTTTTAGCCCTATAATTTGATTATTCAGGCTTCACACCGTTTTAATCGAATAACATCTCGATGTGGCTAGAATCAGATCTAGATCAGAATCTGTAAAATCACCTAATCTATATAATACAATAAATCAGAGAAAGAAAGAGCTATAAATTACATCAGGACAGAAAAATATAGAGATAGTAGGAAGTAAAATAGGGTCTGCCTCTTTATCATTTCTCCCCCCCCCCCAAGTAAATAGAGAAACGATACAAACAGAGAAAAATACCGATTCAGTAAGCTCAATTTTGTCATGATCCAATTTCTTTCCCCGAGAGCAAACATTCGGGTAGAGAGATAAATGAGTGGGCCGAACTAATACGTTGACAGAGATGAGAATCTCACCCTTCGGTCCGATAAATGAAACAAATCCAAGCTGATTCCAACACTAAAGCGAGCCAAATTTCATCCTTTTATGTCTCATACTTTTTTTTTCTCCAGCCTGCAACGTCCTATCGGTGAGCACCACGGATCCATTCACGCTCCGCAATTACGGCAGACGGATTAATTGCACTCTCATAGCGATATATCCCGGTATCGTGCAGGTGATCGCGCTCGGGGTCGGCGGCACCAACTTGCACGGCGTCTCTCGCATGACGGAAACCGGCACTCTACATAAAGTGATAGTCTTTTTCTCTCAATATATACATATTGTATTGCAATAAATAATAAATGCTAATTTGTTTCATTTTTAGTGCGATACGAAGAGTCCGCAGGATCAAGTACAAATCGGAGGCAGTCGTAATTTGGATACAACAAAGCTCGACGTAATCGATTCCATCTGCGGCATCGACTCCAAACCGGGTAAGGAATATTTTACACTCGTGAAGTCTTGATTGAAAATCATTCCAGAATAAAATCGATATCAAGAATATGTATATGTTTATTAGATATTATTTTATAGGCATTTTTATCATATTTTTCTTCTATTTCAGATATAAAAGAGTCTGTGCCGTACGATGTGACAATCGTACGACTAATATCGAGCGGTTACTGCGATAATTCGGTGACGGTGGCAATAAGATCAATTATAGACAACGATATGCTGGAGATCGCTTCTGGTCTTTAAACAATTGCTTCGTACAGTTTCATCTCGTTCGCATTTACTATGTATCTATTCTTGACGTTTATCTTTGAACGAGCGAGCGCAACACTAACACAATGGGAGGGATCGTTGCATAGAATGTATCCCATCGCCGTATTTTAGCTTATACAGATCGTATATTTGTGTTGCATGTTAAATGGGTGTCGCATACGCACGAATGAGAAGAGACGAGTTCTATCTAAGACTGATTATTCTAATTATTCTTTTTTTCATATTCTCCTATCGAACATATTCTAATATTTCATCTACTTCATAAACGAACTTTTACTTCTATACCACTTCTATATAGCTGTGAAAGTAAAAAGATTTATGAGATTAATTTCGGATACTTTTCGATTCGACGCTTTTAATAGAAAAGTAAAAGATAATATATAGTAAGTGTGAAGTGTGTGTAAACATTTATTTGAAACATCTTCATAATGGTGTTATTAATTGCGATTAGCGTAATATTGGAATAATTTTTGATGATAAAATTAATACAATCTTTATGAGACATTATATGTTATATCTAAATAAGTAGTAATGACTTTTTAAATATTGCTCAATGATTATTATTTTTATCGAAAATAATCGAAATAATTTATTGATTATTGTATCATCGAAAAAAATACTCAATTTCCAGTATAATATTTATCGCTATCTTTCTTTTCTCTTTCTATTGATTTTACTTGACTTTACTAACTATAGTTGTCTTCTTCTCTTTCTCTAATTAAGTATCAGACTTTCTTTTAAGTAATAATATCGTATTAAATACTATACACGTAAAATGAACATATTGTATTCATTATTTTATAATATACATTATATATATTATTTTAATATTAGAATATTTAAAAAACTATACTGAATTATAGCTAGAATAAATATTTGTGTTAAATAAAACACATGCGAAACTGCGAAACTAAATAGCTTAATATGTATATGTTCTCGTATCTAAGTTATAATAAATAATTTAAGTTATAATAAATAAGCAAAAATGAATGTGTATATCATTTAATAGATATTGTTCTTAGTTAAACAAAAATTTATGTTAGCAGCTTTTTCTATTGAAGAAATAAATTTGTGTTAATTGATAAAATTTACCAATCATTGAATAATTCAAATTTGAATAAAATAGAGAGAGAGAGAGAGAGAGAGAGAAAGAGAAAGAGAGAGAATGATACATATATTTTATTTAAATATACGTATCATAATTTATATATTTAAATAAGAAATATATAAATATGTTATATTTGATTTTATAATGTAATATCAATATCCGTTGATTTACATCATTTGTTGACGCGATTGTCGATTACATCGATGTGCGACAATGTCATTTTGATATTTTAAGTTGATGTCAGAGCGTTTTCAGAGAAGCATGTACTTTAAATGTTTATTGGTAAAAGGAAGAGAGGATAATTCTTAAGTTTTAAATGAAAGCTATTTTAAAATTCTCTTAACATTATACTTAATTTTTTGCTATATTATTCTGGAATGCATATATGAAATAAGATAGGAAAACAAACTAAAATTGTAAACAATTATATTGTTTTTATTTCCCACAGAATAATATATATTTAGTGTCATAATAAACACTGGTCATAGTATTCACAGGAAATAAGTGCGTGGTTTTCGTACACTGAATAGTGGCATACGATTTTTGTGATGAATACGCTTGGGCAATGGAAACTTGATTTTAGAATCATGAAATTGTTTTACTTGAGGTCTACGACAATTTGCAGCTTTCACAATTTCCACTTTGATTATTTGTATGGAGTGAGCTCGCGCGCGATGACGGGCACCCATATCTCTATAACACTGTGTTACAGCCCCACTGACAGAAAGATCCCTATATTCCCTGTACATATTATGTGTACCAGATCGAGAATCATATCTTAGCCAAATTCCAAAGTTTTTTATCTTTATAGGTGTCTTTTCTGGAATCTGAAATAATGGAGATTCTTAGATTTAATTTTCGATTATTGCATATAAGAATAAATTAAAATTAGTCATACATTGTCATATTATATTCTTTCTTAGCAATGAGACAAACGTAATATATTTATGATGTATATCAAGATAAATACCTGCTTGAGAGATACTATTTCTCCTGTGGATTTTTTGAATTTTTTCAATTGACGCAGGAAATACCAAAATCTGGACTTGGCCACTATAACATCAGGCGCGAATATCCTCATTTTGTAAAGAGGAGTAGTTTTCTCCTTTTCAGTAGGGAGCTTGCGCCCTATCACTTCAAATTCCTTCAACTAAAAGAATAATTAAAAACCAAACTCCTAGTTTGTATATTAATGATATTTATTTATTTAATATATTTATAAGAGCATGTATAAGCATTTATCGGTATGTTTATTTATAGGTTATGGCAATCAAATATTTAGATTTAAACTTGCAATTTGCATTTTTACGTAAATCTTAAAGAAATATTCGACGATTTAGATAAGAGAAAATAATTTGTGATATTGATTTCGCTTGTTCCTTATATAAAATTTGCCAAAATCAACTCACCTCACCCTTGGCTTTCATATCGCCCTGTTATATATATGTATATCACGATCGGAAAGAGCGATTGCTCAACAGCTGTCAACAACTCAGCTGTTGCGTAATGTTCTGAAACGAGTCGAATTTTTCGCGCATGTGCAGCGAACGTAATCTCCATTAACCAATCAAGACGAAAGAAGCAAAGAGTTCTAGGGAATAGCAATTCTTTGATGATATTAATCGATAATTTTGGAACAGACTTATCTATGACAATAAACAAGATACCTCCATTATTACAAGCTCTATGATAGGATATCAGATTTCATATTAAATCGAAAATATAAATTCTCTACGAGAATAATATTTCATTTGCCATGTGACAGATTATCAGATTTCAAGAAACTTTCGAATTTCCTAGAAATTCTCTATTCGATAACCAATGGACATCAAACTAATCATATGACAGATGTAACATCAGTCTACGAATAGAAGATCCCACAATGGCGGTCAGGCTGCTACAAAGAGCAGAACATGACGACATGTTGTAGTATAAATTACTCTTAATTTCATTCTGATGAAAGGATTGAGAAGGTGCGAGTAAGTTTGTATCTTATTTTGCTGAACGAACTGGAACATAAACACTGTTGAAGCATGAATTATAATCACTCGAACGCACGCCGAGGTGAGTGTAACCTACGAGTGACAGATGTAAACTTAAATTAAGTCTTTCTGTTTTTAGCGCAAGATATTTATGTTATCTTTACAACAAGATATTTGAAAAATTGATACCCCTTTTATTATACTATATATTTCTTGTTATTGCGTAATGTTATTTTTAGCATTATGCGAATGTAACAGGAAAACTTGATTATATAAATTACATACTTTTTCACAAATAATATTAACAATAGAATTATGTCTTATTGTAATATCTATTACTGTTATTTAAATGATAAATATAAAAATTGCTCATTTTATTATCTTTATATTTTTTATATAAATATTAATTGTGATTTGACAGGAAAACCGAAGAGATTGTTAGATCCATCAGCTGGTTTATCCGCACCAACTCCTCCAATGCCGCAGAGCTCATATATGTATAACCAACAGGTAAATTTCACAGAATATATATATATATATATATATATATATATATCTTATTCATTTCACATATTACACACACACACACATATATATATATATATATATATATATATATATATATATATATTGTAAAAGGTATATGGATAAGTAATCTGGTCTAAAAAAATTCAGCGTTTATTCTCCTCAATTGATTGACAAAAAAAAGAACTCTTTATATGTCTATTCTTCTTCTTCCGCCATCTATCTATCCTGCTATCGTTAACGCGCGCTCGCAACATCGTCATCTCCTTACAATATGTACTATATTATATTATATATAAAATATATGTAAAAACTCCAACTATTTGTTGGAATTTTAATTTTAGGTGCCTGTGAATAATGGTGCAATGCCAGAATATGGTTTTAACGTTCCTGGACAAACGCCACCACCACCATCAGCACCATATGGATTTAATCCACAAATATCAAATTATCCACTCGATAACACTCAAGGTGAAGAGTTTGCGAGCTCACAATTTGCGACGCAATTATTGGCTCAACCAATGGTTACAAACATGGCTGTACAATATGGAAACACATTAGTTGGTACTGGGAAGCAGCAATTTGAAAAATATGTGCCAGTTACAGCCTTGAAATATTATTTTGCTGTAAACACAGATTATGTCTTCGCAAAGTTAATGTTATTGATCTTTCCATTTACACATAACGTAAGTTTTCTAAAATACTCATGAAATGAATACTATAACTGACAAATACTATATTTCAATAGTTTTATTATCTTTATTTTATATAAAAATATATCTACATGAAAGTTACATATTATAAAAACAAAAAGCGTCAAATGCTAACTGTATTGATGAAATTGTATAATTTATTTTTATAGGACTGGTCTGTAAAATATGAACAAGACGTACCATTACAACCACGATATGAGAAAAACGCGCCAGACATGTATATTCCTACAATGGCGTTTTTCACATATGTTGCTACAGCAGGATTAGTTTTAGGTATGCACGAACGTTTCACTCACGAACAGTTAGGTATTCTGGCTAGCAGCGCTCTAGCATGGGGTGTGATTGAATTGCTCTTTCATACTGTGAGTCTGTATGTGATGAATGTTCAAACTAGTCTAGCAACGTTAGACTTGTTGGCATATTGTGGTTACAAATATGTTGGTATTAATGCAGCCTTATTGATGTCGTTGATATTTGGAAAGCTGGGCTATTTTACGATGCTACTATATTTTAGCATTTCTCTAGCTATTTTTCTGATGCGATCGTTAAAGTTAAGAGTCATTCCGCAAGGCCATAGTTCGTATACGGCTTCTGGAAATAAGAGACGACTTTACTTTATATTATTCTTAGCTGGTATACAACCTATTTTGATGTGGTGGCTGTCGTATCATTTAATTTAAATGGCAAGAAATTTACATGTGCAAGAAATTTATAAGACGCAATGAAGGGAAGAAGAAAAGATGTGTATATTTATTATTTGGTTACTAACATCATCTGTACATTTTTTGTAATAAAATTCGATACAAATATAGTAAATCATCATGCGCATTATTAAAAGATTCTGGGAAAAAAGAGCACTGGAAAATGGTATAGGTTTGATACGTATGATATTAAACTCGCGTAAAATTAATAAATAAATTGTATTATGTAATTAGAATTAATTATAGTTGTAATTTTTTTAACAGTCATGATGCACAAATATATTTAGATAAGAGCAAATCTCGAATACTTTATTTCGTACATGTATGGTATATTTGAAGATTGATGAAAGTGTCTGGAAAATAAATTTTTTCCTTAGATTTAGATTGTATTTTGATTTTTATAGAGACAGACTCGTCAAATCTCTTTTTCTCATGTTCTATTCAATCTCGATTTGCATTGTCCTTTCGAGTAGATTTGGGAGAAAATGGACAGCTGTCTCACTCGCTCACCTTTTGCAATGCGAACGAGCCTTACTTAAATTAAAATATTCAAAATCCAGTTTTTGTCGATTAACTTAATTTTGCGTATATTTCGTTTTTGGATCACGTGAAAAACATTTATTGAAATGTCAAAAATTACAGTGAATCGCGGCGTAATTAGTGCGGCGATTAATGAGTGTATACACATGTTTCTACATGTGGGAGGCACGTAAAAGCGGCGAGCAATCAACATCCACGCTTTTCGTCATCGTCACGTGCGCATTCGCGAGAGTCGCGCGATGGAGACCCGAGCTATTGATTGGCAATGGCGGTCGTGCACGTGAAAACGCGAGCGCAAGTGTATCGTGATCGAAGTGGGAATTTGAATCCGACGATCGATCGCGCGCGCAAGACTCGCACGACGGCGACGGCGTAGGTTGCAGGGTATTCCTCGCGAAGTCGCGAACATCGTAACACGCGTGGTCAGCCAACGCAACGGGATTGCCCAAGATTCGCAATGTGAAAACATGATAATGAAGAGAGTACGTATCTTGTGCGCGTCGACCGAGTGTACGTCGTCGTCTGTCATCGCACGCATCATTATATCTGCGTCGATACCGCGTGTGTAACGTCAATCGTCGCGTATTTCCGCGACATGTTGCAGATCGATATGCAGCTTGAGGGGAAAAAAACGTTGGAACATGGGGAGATTCGGTACGGGGGGGAGGGGAGAGAGGGAGAGAGCGAGAAAGGATGACATGCGGGAGGACGCGATGCGTATAATGACGTATTAACCATAATTTCACGCCAGGGTCGGGTCAGGGTCGTTCTTGTTTATTTATTTCTTGCAAACATCATCTCGCGGAGGTTGGCATCCCTGGGCTATCTCTCTCCTTCCCGTGTAAACATTCGTTGTATGTACTCGTGCTCGCGCTACAATATTGTGTTTACATTGTAACTCTGGGTAACCCTGTCACCTTATAAGGGCGAATGGAGTGGAGTTTCATACATGCGATATGAAACATCACCTCTTGAAGCGCGCGGTAATGTCTATCCTCTTCGTCATCTGATAGCTTGGGTTTTTTTTTTATTTTTGCAACGATATTCATTTAGGTTAGCTTGTCAATTTTGACATTGTTTATTTACTCGCTCCGATCATCACTCGATGGAACAATCAGTTTTTAACGAGATCCTCCTCGATTGTATATGTCGTCGTAATCTCGCAAATCTCTTCTGTTTTAATTCATAACTTTCTAATCTTCCAGATATTGGAAAAAGACAATGAAGCCAAACAAACTTTTGTCAAGCAAACAGTTATCAAGCCTTCAACCTTTGTCAAGCAGGAGTCTATAAATTTTGGATACGATGCTTCCTCGTATGCTAACTACTCTTCATCGTCATCCTCCCCCTCTACTGTTGCTCAACCTTTACCAGGACAACCACCCTTACCACCTATGCCACCGCCACCCAGCGGAGTTCCACCTCCACCCCATGTATTTGGACCAGTGCCTTCCCAAGTCACTCCTATTCAGGCATGGGCACATCCGCACGCTCCATGGCAATGGATAACACCGCAAACGTCCCCTTTACCGCCACCAACACCGCGTGAAATTACTAATACTTTTCAAAGAGAAATGCCTTTAAGGGGTAACTATGCACGTCGCGAACGATTTAGTCATAATAGGAGCAATATGTATGTTCAGAGAAATAACTTTCATCGTAAAAATAGAAGGTTGGCGCGATTTGGACAGTCGCAAGGTCAATTCGATCAGGCTGCTTACTTTGGCGCGACAGCACTGACAGGTAGTCTCGGTTTAGAATGGCAAAGAAATAATTATACCGCGACAACAAATGACGCTATAATAAATCACATGACTGTACCTCTACCTAATCATCCCATACCTCCCATTCCATCAGGAATTGTGCCCAGCAGGCATAGCGAAGAGACAGAGGATCGAGATATGAAAACTGTACTGGTGATTATGTTTCGAATACTATGTAAATTTTTAAAGATAAATAATATGATGAAATTTTTCAGAAGGAAGTTGTAAAGAAAAATAAATCAAGGAAACCAATGTCCCAAAGTTATCCCAGTAGACCCTGGAATAGAGAGGACGCGGAGAGAGCCTTGAAGACTGAAAACGAATATAACAAAAAGAATAAGATTAATGCGCAAAGCTTAATAATTAAGTTTCCCGATCCAGATCTAAATAAAGATATTGTTAGATTATTTCATCCTGGTATACAAAACATACATTTTCAAAGTCCAAGCGGGCCGAGATACTGCTTTATCCAGATGGCAGAGAATGTGAATATCGACGAAGCTATAAAAGATTTGGAAAAAATTCAATTTGGTATAGGAAATCTGAAAGTTGAGAGAAAATCATTAAGAGACGAGGATAATCCGATGCCCGAAGAGATAGATCCTTATACTTTATACATAGGAAATTTGCCCGAATCTGTTAATGTAAACGAGGTGAAAAATAAATTTCCAACAGCACGAGTAGATGTAGGATACGCGCAAAAAATGAGGAACACCCGGTTAGTTTTATGATTATATATAAATATATGCATTATTTATATATAGTTGATGTAACAGAATTATATTTTACAATTTCATGCTTACAATACTATTGCATACTCTTGTTACAGATATGCTTTTATAAGATACAATAGCGTAGATGAAGCGATATCAGCTTATAAACAGGCACATGATTTAATGTGGGACACGAGAAGTATTATTGTTAGATTTAGACGGCAGCGAGGTAATGCTTGTCTTCCTGGAGAACCCAAGTCTAACGTTAAAAAAGTTAAAGAGGAATCAAATAATGCTGCGCAAGTGAAAAAGGAACAGAATGCAAATCATGTTGAGTTTAAGCCTAATGTTAAGAAGCTGAAGGAAGAAGGAAATAATGCCAATCAAATGAAGAAAGATGATAAAATTAATCACGCGGATAAATCATCGACGAATCAAGATGCAAATAGCGTTGAAACGCGACTGCAAGATAATTCTAATAAGGCACAAAATAAGCCAAATTTGCAAACTCAGGAACAAAATGTAAACTCCCATTCCCCCATGTTGCCGACTTTGATTACGTCGGCTAAAACAGCACAAGAACAGCAACAACAACCCTGGGTAATATAAAATTAACGTTATTAAATTGTGATATATTGCAATTGTATATGAAACCATAATTGTATATTATTTTTTTATGAAAATACGATTTAATTATGTTTCCTTTCTATAGACGTCGCAATCTCCTCAGATACCTTCAGCATCAGAAACTCCACCACCGAGCAGTCCAACCGAGACGGAAGAAGCCGAAGAAACAATGATGTTTAGAAAGATTAAAGAAGAACCTCAAGATTACGAAGAAATGGACATGTTATCTAATATGCAATCGGACGAGGACGATGATGACGATGACGATGATGATGATGACGACGATGACGATGATGAAGAACCAGATGATACTGACGATGATGAGGATGATAATGAGGAAAATTGCGAAGAAGACGAAAATATCAATGATAATGAAAATATGTTTGGCGATAAGCCATTGGAAACATTAGGTAATGAAGATGAACAAAGCGATGTAAGTACAAGGATGATAAATTATTTCTCTGAATTAGACACATCAATACATTAGCTGATCAATATAATTCTTTGCTCAGAATCTAAAAATTTGATATATGCTCTCTTATTTTAGCATCTTGATCAAATGTTCAGCAAATTGGAGAATACGACAGGCGATATCAGTTTTTGGGGCATTGAATAATATATCATTTTAATGCTCATGTATCATGCTGATCCGATTTTTATGAAGATTAATTTCATAAGTAATATGTAAATATCAGTAGTAACGTAATATAAACAAATAAGACTGCATGTATTTAAATACGATAGTATAAGCAATTGCAGAGTGTTTAAGCATTTTGTAATTATCCTTTTTTTTTTTTTCAATGAATTTCAATGAATATATCCCAAGCTTAAGTGCGAAATTATGTAAGCTATTGCATTATTAAAATTATTATTTTGTGTATTCTCGCTGTGTAATAATCAATCTATGCGTCATTTTATTCAATAGCCCAATTTTATATAGTGAAGGAAGCTGCAAAACATCAATCGCATTTTTTTACATATCCGTAATTGCCAACAATATATACAATGTCAATTATAACTGAAAAGCTTGCCGAATCGCAGAAATATAGTATTTAATATTTTACAAATAATGACTTTGTGTATCTATACATATAAAACCACAATGTGAAAAATTTATTTCTTCTATCGTAAATAAGCATATTGTATCATTTTGAACACCGGATGCGAACATTTTTGATCATTCAAAGATGCCACTATCTACTTCCGTTTTAACTGGTGAGAAAAGGCGGGTAATTATCTTCCAATGTTATTAGATGGCCAGGTTTTTTCGCGCATGCGAAATGAAACGGTGACTCACGTATATAGTATATAATATATGGTGACACATGGAGCCCCTCACATGTTTTCACAAAATCGCAGAAGACGGATCAAGTATATATCATTTCGTGAGTAAATAAACTATTATAATTATCTTGCATATATATAATATATATGCATATATTATACGATCTTATTGATATTCTTAATGGAGAAAATTTTTTTTAAATAATTTAAAAAAGATTAAACGGGGGCAATATAAGACCTCATTTCCTGCGAATGACTACTTCATTGATATTATGCGTGCGCGGGAAAACCTGGCCCGTCTAATAACACTGACTTCCTTCGAGAACGCCTGTTGCTTCGTGTTGCTTTGATTGATTGATTTCAAGTGCTACGTTTGATTTTTTCGCATTTTCTTTTCTGTTTAAAGTAAGCTCCAGGAATCTATCAAGTAGAGACAAACGACAACATGTTCGAGGCACGTCTGATACAGAGCGCGATCCTGAAGAAGGTGTTGGATGCGGTCAAGGATCTCTTGACAGAAGCGACGTTCGAATGTTCGGATTCAGGGATTCAAGTCCAGGCGATGGACAACGCTCACGTTTCCCTGGTCTCATTGAACCTCAGGAGCGATGGCTTTGATAAATATCGTTGCGATCGGAATCTATCAATGGGCATGAGCATCAGTTGGTGAGTTGAATTTCGAGGTTATAATCCGGGAAATCTTGAGAAGAAAAAAAAAGAGAACTTCTTTTCCTTTCTTTTGGCTGCGTCTCCTTAGATTTTAGATACTTTGAAATAAACTAGAGACAAAAGAAAGAGAAGGAATTGTGAGTAGAATGGAGTTAAAAAAAGAAAAAATGCTTTTTTAGCATGTCAAAGATCCTACGATGCGCTGGTGCAGAAGATACAGTGACCCTCAGGGCGGTGGATAATCCTGAATCTATCGTTTTTATATTTGAATCACCTAACAAAGACAAGCTTGCTGAATATGAGATGAAGCTAATCAACATGGATCAGGAGCATCTTGGCATTCCTGTGAGATTCACTTAGATTCACTAGATATAAATAATGAGACGATATTAAAAATGGCATTCTATATACATGATATATTCTATATACTTTATTATTTTGTAGGAAACCTCTTACTCTTGTGTTGTGAAAATGCCGTCTGCAGAATTTACTCGCATATGCAGAGATTTGAGCCAGTTTGGAGAATCTATAACTTTTGCCTGTACCAAGGAAGGTATAAAATTCAGCGCAACTGGTGACTATGGCTCAGGTAAATATTTTCCATATTCTATGTATTTTTCTTCTTTTTCTTCTTTATGACTGATTGGGCTTCTGAAAGGATTCAGCTATACACCAGTTTGGTGATTTAAATTAACTTGCTCATGTATAAAAATAAATTAAATAGGAATAAATAGATGTTCTTTTGGAAAGAGGACAAAAAAGCACAAACATTATAGTCCAAACAAAAAACTATGTGTAATGCGTATAAACACATTGATCCTATCCAAAGATTGACTTTTATAATCTATGTACTCATAGTATATTTTAGAAATAGATATATGCTGCAGATTTATAATATACACACATACATAATTTATATATATACCGGGTGTTTCAGACCACCCGTACACCCCATTTTAAAGCAAAGGAAGTGGTTATTTTGAAAAATGTTTCAGACAAAAGTTGTTGAAGATAAAGTAATGCATTACATGGGTAAATTTGATTGACCTTGGGTGGCGTCGTGAAGGTCATGTCAAGGTCGACTTGAATTTTTTAAATGGGAACCCCTATTTTTCATTGCATATTCTTGTAGCTTATCTCGAGAGCTTTCCAAAACACTATAATTAAGTACCTTTTTATTAAGTACTTTTTGAGTTATAAGGCTTGAAATAATTTCTTAATTTTACATAAACCATAAAATATCTAGTAAACCATTCATTTTTCGATTATCTTACCTTCATACTTTTATGTACAAAATAATGAGAGGAATCAATTGGTGTAAAGAAAACACATAGTTGTTTCTAAGAAAAAATATGTAATTTGCAATTAACAATTCCATATTTTTTCTTAGAAACAACTATGTGTTTTCTTTACACCAATTGATTCCTCTCATTATTTTGTACATAAAAGTATGAAGGTAAGATAATCGAAAAATGAATGGTTTACTAGATATTTTATGGTTTATATAAAATTAAGAAATTATTTCAAGCCTTATAACTCAAAAAGTACTTAATAAAAAGGTACTTAATTATAGTGTTTTGGAAAGCTCTCGAGATAAGCTACAAGAATATGCAATGAAAAATAGGGGTTCCCATTTAAAAAATTCAAGTCGACCTTGACATGACCTTCACGACGCCACCCAAGGTCAATCAAATTTACCCATGTAATGCATTACTTTATCTTCAACAACTTTTGTCTGAAACATTTTTCAAAATAACCACTTCCTTTGCTTTAAAATGGGGTGTACGGGTGGTCTGAAACACCCGGTATATATAATATATATATATATATATATATATATATATATATATATATATATATATATACATACACACACACACACAATACAGACATATACACACAATACAATTAGTATTTTATCTACATCATTAAAGACAATTATAACATTATTAAGACATCATTAAGATGACTGTGTTATCAATATTTCTTTTAACAATGAAATTTTTCATGTATTTTGCCTATATATAATGACAAATCACAGGAATTGATTTCAATTTGAAACATTGTTAATTAAAAATATATTTGAAATATTTATTTTTCTATTTTCGGTTTGAGAACAAAAGTTATAGCTATTTACAATTTCTTTTCTTGCCAGAAATATTGTTATTATAGATACTTGATCAAAGCATGATAAAGATATATGTTTTTATCAAATGAAGCTAAATAGAATAAATGTTGTAGATATGTTTATACAGAGATACTCAAAATTAGAGTGAAAGCTTTGTTGATAATGTTCATAATTGCTACACAAAAAATGTTGCATTTCATAAAAGCTTTATTTCTTTTTTGTATTTTAAACTAAAAGATACAGAGATCATGATAAATAAATTCAATTGTTTAATGATTTGAATTTTACCATGAACACAATTGTGATTTGCAAGAGAAATTATTTATTACTATTTATTGAGATTGATTCAAACATTACTGATAAAAAAATAATGCTATCTATTTTTGAATATTTTTCTGTGAAAATCACTATATAGACTTTCACAGAATATATATATATATATATATATATATATATATATATATATATATATATGTATTATATGTTCACAATACAATTAAAAGTTCAAACTATTAAATTAATTTAATTATTAAATTTAAATTTCATTTATATTATGATTTATCTTATACATGTTACATTTTTCTATTTTTTTTTACAGCCAATATTAAATTAGCACAAACTGCAGATGCTGATAATGAAGAGGAAGCAGTAATAGTTAATATGCAGGAACCAGTAAAGTTAACATTTTCTTGTCGTTATTTAAATTGTTTTGTGAAGGCTGGACCTCTTTGCAATCAAGTTCAACTATCCATGTCGGATGATGTGCCTTTAGTATGTGAATATAAAATTGGTGATATTGGACATATCAGGTATTACCTGGCGCCTAAGATTGATGATGAGGAGGAAAATTAAAATTAAAAAAAATTCATATATACTAAACTATAATTATCATCAGCGTGTTAAATTACTTATTGCATTATAAAAAAAATGTATCTTAGTATTTTTCTTACTTGGCATATTTATTTCAATAGAAAAAGATGAATCGACATGTTAATTCTTAATAAGGAGATTAACAATATCATATTTGTATTTTAATAATGAAAGGAAAAATAAATATTTCATTATTCAATATTGAGGTATAATTAACGCAAAGTTAGAAGTACTTTTAAGATAATATATTATTTGAATTTTACATTTAAAAGTTATTTGGCTTGTCACAGTGCTAGCATAATGCAGAATTGACACTAAAATTCATAGTAGAGTGACACAATAATGATTAATATAGCAAAATGGTGTCATTCTCTTAATCAATATTCACATTATTACTGTTCCAGAGACTGTGACAGTATTTTGATAATATCGCATTTTTTTATATGTAAGAAGAACTCAATATATTTCCAAAAAATTTGATAAATTTTAAATATTATATGTTATATTCTTATATCCTAGCCTAGATCGAAATTTCAAGTTTTGCTTAATCTTATTTCTTACGTTTGTGTGTGTATAAGCTATTTTAATATAAAAATACATAATTAACTTACGAGCTGAGGGAATAAAAGGGCTATTATGGATGGAATAGCCTAGAAGTATACAGTTAAATCTTACATAATTTGGATTTCTTGTATAATTATTCTAAATAAGTTAATAATTAATCATTAAATATTGATTTATACTATAGAATTATTTTACACGCAAGCACTCCTCGACAGGTCTTTATAAGTAAAATCATTCAGCACACATTTGTTCTTGTACTTAAAAAAAAATTTCTTTTTAAGAAATAATTTTTATGCGTGCACTATATTAGAGATCAAGAAAAGAAACAGTTGAAAACACAACAAAATGAGAGTTTTGGCAATATTAATCAGCCTCTTTGGTATTAAAGCCCTGATATTGCTTTCTTGTTTTAACTCAATCAAAAATTATTTAACGAGAGGAGTTCTATCATATATTTTATACATGATTAAAAAGAAGATTATTATTATATTATAAAGAACGCGATAATTCTACCTTTTTTTAGAAAAAATAGTTTGTATTATAGATTTCTCTCCAATATGCATTGGGAATTTTTAAAATGCGCTCAGTTATGTTTTTCTCAGTGGAGATTACAACACAGATCTCGATTCTACTAGTTCCTTGTCACATCACGTTCCAATTTGGCATCCTTTTATACGTTATATAGATATGCGTTCAGTCTAGGTAGACATAATATTGGACATAGATAAGATGCTGTATAGTCTCTCCACGACTGAGACGCCATGCAAAACAGAAATATATATATTTATATGTGTATGTGTTTCGGAAAAGAATGTGAAGGGCCTTTAAGCGTTCGTGCTACCATTACTCCCGTATAAGCTGGGATGTACGTATTTGTCATGCAGTGTTCTTAAATGCCTCAATAGATTGCTTTTTACATTGAAGCCTTTTTTACAGTAGGAACAGAGGAAAGGCTTCTCGCCCGTATGCGTTCTCTGATGGATGACCATCGAGGCGTGGCTCGGGAATTCCTTTTGACATATATTACATAATTTTTGGTGATTGTGTACCCTCTTCGGCTTAGGGGGCGCCGAATTGTTCATCAAGGCCAACTGTTCCTCCGTATGTTCCGTCTGTATGTGACGTACCCACTCCTGCGGTGTGGAATACATGTTGCCGCATAGGTCGCACTTCAGAGGTGGGAAGTCCTTGCTGTCGTCGTTCACATCGTCCTGAAATCGTTGCGGTTCACGAAGTTCTGTGATATAATTGTATTTACGCGAATCATATCGCACTTAAAGAAATCCAAAATACCTTTCGTTTCTTTCTTCGATTTTCAGTCATGTCAGCGTGCGTGAATTCTATATGTCTCACCCAATCTGATGGTCTGTTAAATGTTTGACTGCACATGTCGCACGTCAATGGTGTATATTCCTCCTCTTCCATATCTCCATCTTCGTCCGCGCTGTGCACAATCTCCTATGAAGGGAATAGTAGGAATTGTTTTACTTCCCGATCTCTTCATTATAAAAAAGAATGAATAGTTTTACTTTAACGTACTGGTTTGATATCAATCTCGTGGTCTATCGTAAGCGATTCCGACGGATCGATCGTCTCTTCCCAATCGATCGGCTCATCCTTCACTAACAGTTCCAAATTTAGTTCCGTCTAAAAAAGGAAAAAACGAGAAGAAAACGTTAGATTTTCTATGCCTCTTTACGCCTCTCCTTTTTTTTATCACGTCATTACAATTAAATCTACAAAAAGTTGTCTCACATTGTCGCCACCTTCGCTCTTCGATTTGTTCGATTCGACATCACTATTTACAGATTTTTTCTTCTTTCCATTCGTCTCGAGATTCTCTTTGTTTTTATTTTGCTCATTGTTCTTATTTTCCTCCAAGATTTTCTTGGCGTCGGATTCGTTGGTCTTATCTTCGATGATCTTCTCAGTGCTTTTCCTCTCGATTGGCTTCGAGGGTTGTATATTATTTTGGCATGCCGTAGCCGCCTGTTGCGCGTTCTCGACTATTTTCTCGGTGGTCGGTTGCACCAGTTTGATCTTCTGTATCTGTCCGGTCAGCTGCGAGGGCTCCCGTTTGTCACGTTCGATCTTCTGATTGTTCGACTGTATATTTTCCTTCTTGCTGCTACCGGTATTCGATCTCCATAGTCCACGCACACGCAATATATCACCGGCTTTCAAGACTCCCTCCAGCTGATCATTCGTCACGGTGGCTTCGCCGCTGTACATGTATTGTATCAGGATTTTTAGCGTACGATATCCAATCTCTGTAGGCAATACCTGAAAAGCACAGAATAATATTATCGAATCGTTTATTGTATGCGCGTGTTATACTGTTTCAAAATGACAATCTTGATTTTGCAACGAGCAGGAAAAATATCACGTTAAAAGATTCAGCAAATCTTCATTGTACCAACCACGATTATCGGAGCATTAGTATTCGCGCCAAAGTGGCATGTCTGGAAAATGTGACTTAGGTACGATGAGCAGGCAGCGAGGACGAATCGATGAGCCGCCACGTGTCGGCCGCAGGACGTGGCCAGCAGAACATCCGCAAAGGACTCCGAATGAAGCAACGTCGCGACGGAGCTATGAAGATGCGCTCCATAGCTGTGCCACTTCAGCTGATAATTCTCCGAAGCAGCGATTGCCATCTTTTCTGTGTTAAACAAAAGCGCGATTCAATTAGATAAAATATAAAAGTATAACATTGCGTGCCATTCTGTGCATTTAATGCTAAACGCATATTAAAATTAATCGAATTAATTTATCTAATCCATACAGTTTTGACGTAGAATAAACGTCAGAAAAATGCGATGTATATGCAATATGCAATGTTTGTAGAGAATTTTAATGCGTCTGTATGCGATGAGCCTGTTGCGTGGCGATGTAATCTTTCATTGATAAACCGATGAAATTACATATTTGGCAGAACATGGCAGCGTCGAATCTGTTTTTCGTCAGCATCTTGCGTATTTTTATCAGTATCGATCTATCGTCGCGATTACGCGACTCCGGACGATTATCTACAAAGGCGGATTTAGAAAGAGAGGCTACACGTCGCCATGATCGCGTCCGATCTCGCGAGCGAAAAGCGCGTCACGATCTAGCGAATGATCTGTGATTCCTTCGCCGCGTGATCCACAAAGACAAAACATCTCCTTCCAGCGTAAACGTTATCTCTCCACCGCGATTATATCGCAGCAGTCGCGTAAACTTGGCGTCGTTCGGCTCGCACGTTGCTCCAAAATTGTACGAATCATTTGAAAAATCGATACGGAGATGTACGACGGATACTTTCTCGAGAACGATCACGATACGTTGTTCGAATTGGCGAGATCGATTCGATCGTTTCCTTCACTCACGACTCGAGCGGAGCTGTCGAGCTGTCCCTTGATCACGTTTGCGACGATCCCGTCGTCGTCGTCGTCGTCGTCGTCGTTGTCGCCGCCCGTATCAGTCACAGATCAATGCAGGCCGATAAGTCGCGCAACGTGATAAACTCGCCGCCGCGAGATTATTCCCCGATCTCCATAGCTCGCCGCGCGTTAATCGAATTTGCAAACTCAATCAGGATGCGCAGGCATCGGGGTTGACCGCCCTGTCCTTTACCGCGAATCCGGCGATCCGACACGGCACCCCTCATTCGCACCCTCTCGATACCGAGGTGTCGGGAGTCGCGTGTACTATTACGTCGCGGATGTATAGCATGTATGTATGTATATATATATGCGGGTTACACCGGAAACACTCCGACGCGCGTCTCGACACTGAGGAAGAATCCCCGCATTGATATTCGCGGACGCTCGCGTGAATCATCCACGGGGAGAAGAAGAGCGCGAGAGAATCGCGTCGCGACGAGCCCTCGATCGCTTCCCCCTCCCCCTCTCAGCCCCTCCACCTCTTTCTCTCTTGTTCCGGCCAGACGTCTCGTTTTTGCCGTTCTCGCGATTTACCTGAAAACATCGGCGCACACTGCCGGACAACGAGACTCGCAGGATTCACACCGAGATCTACTCGATCTAGCCGGGCGCGCGATTCAGCCGCGACGATAAACGAATCCGAGGGAGACGCGCGGAGGATCAGGACGTCGACGGAGACGGAGACGGGCAGACTGCGTGCACGAGCGCGACGTATCTCGCGCGCGTCGTCGGTGTTTTGAAAGGCGCTTGGCGCGGACAGGACGGGGGCACGGGGCAGATACGAGCATCGAACGAACCGCCGCGTAGGGGCCTAAAAATCGATATTTCGGTCTTTGCTCCATCCTCTCCGCGCGCCGTACGGTGCGGTGCGGTGCGGTGCGGCGCGGTGCGGCGCGGCGCGGCGCGGCGCGGCTCGCCGGCGAAAGCCGGCTAGAGAGGTAGAGGCAGGGAGGGTAGGGTATGCCCCCCTGTGTTCATCATCGATTTTCCCGGCTACCAATCGCACGCATCCATTTATCGCATCGATCGCCCGAGCTGATTTCAGCGTTTGCGTCCGTACGTCCATCCGCCCGCTCGCTCCACGACGATTCATGCACCCTCCCGACGATTCCCTCTCTCCTCCCTCCCGAACCGTCACTTCTCTACCGCTCTCTCTTCCTATTCTCCCCGCACCCGCCGGGATACCCTTCCCGCGACCCTACCCCTTCGTCGAAGCGACCCTCGCCGCCACCGCCACCGCCGCCGCCGCTGCTTCGGTTCTCTGTATCTTCGATCGTAGATGCGACTCGACTCGAGAGACCCGTCGAGGGTCGCGTCGAGAGGAAGGCCGACCTCGCGATCGCGTCCGCCGACTTCTTGATTTATGCCTGTTGATATTCGGCCATGTCGATGGACGGTTTCCTTATTTTAAGGCTCTTCTCTCGTCGAAGGGGAGAAAAGTATATGATTTTTTCGGAGCGACGAATCGTCGCCGAAGTATCGATCACCTGCCGCTCGATGATCCGTCCCGTCCAGACCAAGGATCGCGCTTCCTTTCTCCCTCTTTTGCGAGTTTGTTGACACGGGACGTCTAGAAGATTTTACCAAGAATTAGTCATCTTCTCGCGATGATATTCGTCGCGCGTCTCTTCGATTGATTTTTCGAACAATTTATAAGTCTCTAGTCTTATAGCAAGCTCTAACGCAAAGTTTACACGCGCATTGATATACATATAAGACAAATTACAAGATTGACACATGCAAGAGCATTTTTGCGTTTAACGATATCGGCAGTACTTGCCGCAGTCGAGTTTGAATGATTTCTTTTTGGAGATAGGACTTACTATTTATTTTCTATCCGTAACGATAACTTTGATTGATACCTACGTGTTTGCAGTAGAATCAACAATTGCACTCTTGTATCACTCTAGTGTCACGCGTCGACGCGCCGAGGCCGGAGGGATCTATGGATCGTTTCGGGCTTTGTCATTCCGACTTGGTGGAAATTGGACGCGATCGAAGATGCTATTCGTGCCCGAAGATGGCGCCGGTAGTGGGATTGTTCGATTTTCAGGATTTCCTCGGTCACATGCACTCGCTAAGCGTACGTGTGCGTGTGTATGCGGTGTGTATGTACGTGTGTCCACGTGTGTGTGTGTGTGCGTGCGCGACGACGTACCGCATTGCGTCGTCGACCCATTTTGCAACGGGGGCGATAAGTCGCGCTCGCGCGACCCTCCCTGCCGTTTAAATAATCAATCTCGCGACGCCCGCTTATCGAGACGCCTTTTTACCTGTCGGTGCTACGACGAGGAGGTGGTTAGGATGCGCCGCCTGCTTCGGCGTCGCCGAATTCTTCGTCTCGCGTTGCATCCGATCAACTGACTTTTCCCCTCGCCCCCTGACGTTTCAGATCCGGCCTCCTCGGGCTCCGATATATAATATATAATATCGTCGCGGAAAGAAGAAAAGAGGGAGCCGATCGGAATCCGCGGGAACGGCCAAGTTCCGATGATCGCGACGACGATCGATCCGCGGGCTGAAGGTATGCGCGTTTGAATCGCGATCGCTCGAGTCACGTGGTGCCGAGTCACGTGGCGCTTTCGCGTGAGCAGCGCGAGGGCGCTTCGCTCGCGAACACGTCGGGCGACGGGCTTCACAACAGTCCGTGTGTTTCGTAAATATGCGCGTTATTGCCGTCGGCCGGGGGTACGAGGTCGCGACGACGACAACGATGACAGGAAGGATTTGAGAGAGAGAGGATGCGAGTCTCGGGAACGTGGCGCGCGTCGCGGACTTTATTCGAACGGCGGACGGGGCTCGCGTGCGAATCGCGAGTGGCCTCGTTGACCCAATTTTCGTAAACGAAGGCCCTTTCTTCGCGACTATGACCCTCTCGGTGCGCTCCCTGATCGGAGTCGGTGGCCTCTAAGAACGATGACGGGTGGTCGCGCGGCCCGTCAAGTTCGCTGAGTTCGAAGAGGGAAAGTTGAAAAAAATCGTCCCGGGCTGTGGTTTCTACGCGAGGATACTCGATCGGAGGACTCCTCTTTCCTTTAGAATATACGGAAATTAGGTTAAGTTCTTATCGCCTCGTTATATCCTCGTGGCTCGAGTAGCTCGATTCCCCGACCTCGGGAGCTCAACAGGCGGATTCCGCGTAAAGTGGTGAATAGATACATGGATGTTGCTGCTGGCTCCCGCACTTGTCCAGTGTTTCGACTCGGGGACCGGACGGAGCGGGCAACATGAAATATGTTTGTCCAAAATCGCAAAGTGCAGAAACGTCAAAGAGACACGATTGTACGATTCTGATAAATCGCCAGCGATCCGTGGCCGTGATTTCTACGTTCATATATGGCAATACGTGAGAGGAACTTTAGCCACGAGCAAGATGCCTCACATCACGCGAAAATGGGAGCTATTCCCGGGCAGAAATCGCTTTTGTTGCGACGGCCGAGTGATGATGGCACCGCAAACCGGAGTATTCTATGTCACAGTGTGCCTCATCGTCGGAACAAGCGGATTATTCTTCGGTTTTGAGTGAGCATACCATAAATTTACGTCGTATTATATATTTGGTTCTTTAAAAATAAAGAATTAGATGGAGATAAATTATTACAACATATTGCATTCTTTAAACTTTTCTGAGATAAACGAAAGATAAGACTAGTATGTCGAAATAATTTGTGAAATTGAATGCCGAAGGTTTAAAATTCATGCTTTTCTATGCATTAACAAAATAAAATTATCTTTTTTTCCAGTTGTCCATATTTGGCACTACACGTAACACCAGCAATACCAGTAATAGGAGCTCTGTTATTTATATTTGTAATGTCTGCTTTGTTCCGCACAAGCTTTAGTGATCCTGGAGTAATTCCAAGAGCAACACCTGATGAAGCAGCATATATTGAAAAACAAATCGGTATATAGATATAATTGTCATTTATAGACATTTAACTATTTTAATGTCATTGATATTTAGATGTAAAAATTATGAAAAAATTTATTATCAATTTATTAAATGCTAAATTAAAACATTTTTTATGCTGGATTGTAGAAGTACCAAACAATGGTAACTCTAAAACATACAGACCTCCTCCTAGAACAAAAGAAGTCTTGATTAAAGGACAACCAGTAAAATTAAAATATTGCTTCACGTGTAAAATATTTAGGCCACCAAGAGCCTCTCATTGTAGTTTATGCGACAATTGTGTAGGTATGTGTGTATATATTATTATATTATTTTTTATTAAAATGTAAATTTATCAAAAAGTAGATTATATTCGCATAAAGATATCTGCAATATTTGTTTTCTCTTTTCTTTTTATATTATCAGATATATCAGGATTAATGTTACATAATGATCGCTGATAATTAATCACAAATATCAGACATAATTTTAAAGATAACTATCTTTGCAGAGAGATTTGATCATCATTGTCCATGGGTCGGTAATTGCGTGGGCAGAAGAAATTATAGATATTTCTATGCTTTTATAGTGTCCCTAGCATTTCTCTGCGTCTTTATATTTATATGCGCAGTCACACACCTAATTATGCGTAAGTGCTTTAATTTCTAAATTGTTAAATGAATAGACATAAATACTTTAAGAAAATCATAACACAATAATATCTACTTATCTCATTTTTACATCGTAATTATAGTTACAAAGGATAACAAGCCATTCTTAGAAGCAGTCAAGTTATCTCCAAGCAGCGTTATTGTGGGAGTCGTATGTTTCTTTTCTGTTTGGAGCATTTTAGGCCTTGCTGGCTTTCATACATATTTAACTAGCAGTAATCAAACAACTAATGAAGATGTAAGTAAATTTAATAAAATTATGTATAAGCAACTTTTATATAATATAGAAGCAACTTTTTCAATTCTTTTATTTTTTTTCTGACTGTTATTCCACAATAGATTAAGGGATCATTCACGAATAGGAGAGGCCAGGACAATTTTAATCCCTACAGTCAAGGAAATATTTGTGGAAATTTTTTTTATGTTCTATGTGGACCCGCTCCACCTAGTTTAATTGGTAAGATCCTTCTTCACATATCAATATAATATCTAACAAGTATTCACATATCAATATAATATCTAAATATTTCTAAATATATACAATTATATACAAATAGATACAAGAAATTATACATCATTCTCGGTTTTATTCATCATTTTCATCATATCTTTTTAGATCGAAGAGGAATAGTTACACCCGAATATCGCGCAGAGCATGAATCAATTGGAGATGATAATATAATCGTTAACAATAAGACATATGGTACTGCAAAGATCGTACAACCTCAGGTAATTACAATTTATAGCATATTTATTAGTCTATTTTTTGTATACTAACTTCGGATAAATAGCTCAAGTACAGATGTTATTTAGTAAATAAATAATATATACCATATATATCATGATATATACCATATAATAATATATACCATATTACAATTTTTTATCTTTCTTTT